TTGCGTCGAGGGAAGGGGGGAGGGATAGCGAGAACGTTGTGGGAGAGTCGTTGGGGGGCCTGGAAGGGGGGGGGGGGGTTGGGGGGAGGCAGATCACGATGCTGCATGCGTGCATGCGTGCGTGGGAGATCTGATCTATACCAAGCAGAGTGTTCGGGATCGGGACGGATTGGATTGGGTTGGGTTGGGTTGGGTTGGGTTGGGTTGGGTGCCTAGGCCCATGGCTCGTGTGGTGGAACACAGAAAGTCCTGTCTGCTCTCCCTCGGGCCAGAGACATCGACCCTCGGAGCCACTCCTCCAAGCCACGAACTGGAGCAGGTACGGTAGTCCCGTGCGATTTTTGCCCCTCGTGATGATACGGAGGAGGTGTTCGAGGTCAGACAACTAACTGACTCGCTTATAAGACGACGGCAGAGGTCCGCCTCAGCAAAATCAAAAAGACAAAGAGGGGAACGAGGGTGTGGCAATACTTCTATTATATCTATCTCTATCATTCTGGGAAAAGATCATGTCTACCCACCACACCTCACGGGGTCATTGGGCTCACCGCAGAGATCAGAGCACTATTTAACGGTATCAATATATCCACTCCCAAGCGCCCATGATCGCCGTCATGTATGTTCCCGCGTCAACCAACGCCGCCAATGCAACGGGCACCCAAGCCAATCATCTCATCATTATCGTCATCAACCTTCTCTTCGCCCCATCACGCAGCAATCTCTTCCGCAACTTGCTTCAGCTCGAATTGCTCCAGCTTTGCAGTCAGCTCCTCCTGCTGCCGCTTCCGCTCGGCCTCCAACAGGTACTGCGCGTACACAGATCGCTTGTTATGGATGCCGCACTCGGTCTTGGCTTGTCCCTTCCAGCGGCCCGCGCGCTCGTCCTCGCCCTCCTTGACTGGCTCGGTTGAGTGCCAATCGCCGACGCTCTTGTACCCACGGTCCAGCAGCTCGTTGTACGGGACGTTGTTGGCCTTTATGTACTCGTTGACTTGCTTGAATGACCACGCGGCCAACGGGTTGATCTTGATGAGGCCAGCGTCGTCGATCTCGAGAATGTCAAGAGAATCCCGCTTGGCGCCCTGGGAACGTCGGCGGCCGGTGAGGATAGCAGCAACGGAGAGATCAGAGTATGCCCGCTGCGCAGGCTCGACCTTGGCCACCCAGTCGTAGAGTTCTGGGGCTGTCTTCCAGAGTTCCTGGCCGTGGCGGGCTTCGAATTCGGCGGTGGTACTGACGCCCTCGGGCTTGTAGACGTGGAGGTGGACGTTGGGATAGCGGGTCTTGGTCTTCTCGACGAGATTGAGTGTTTCTTGGAAGTGGTAGAGGGTGTCGAGGAAGATGGCATCGATCGTTGGTGCGTCCGGAGTCTCGGCTTGGAGCTTGGAGAGCATGTCGAGGGTGACGAGGCCAGAGACACCGAAGGCAGTTGTTTGGTAGAGGTTGGGGAACGTGATCTTGGCCCAGCGGAGGATTTCGAGGGGCGAGAGGTTGTTTAAGCTGCTATTGAGGAACTTGAGGTGTTGCTTTGTGAGGATGATCGAGGGAAGGGCTCCGGTTGAGGAAGCTCCCGAAGCATAGCCGGACTCGAGATTCGACTTGTTCGAGTTCGTGCTTGCGCTGTGGACGCCCATTGTGACTTGTGAAGAAGTTGCTGAACTGAGGTTCCAAGCGCGGAGAAGAAAGTAAATGTAGATAAAATATATCCAGAGAGTGGAGAATGTGGAGGGGGATTGATATTAGAGAGAAGATGTGGTCGGTGGTGCAATCTGCTCTGCGATGGTGCAATCGACGGATAAAGAGACGGGGGGGGAGTATAAGCGAGAATCTTTTTTTGCTTGGTGGATTTCCAGAGCAGGATGCGATCTTTCATAGAAGAAGAAGAAGAAGAAGAAGAATGATTTATTTTGCAGCCAAGTCAAGCAAGTTCTATAACAACAATGAGGTGGGAGGGAGAAGAATGTGGGAGGGCAAGTATGGAAGTTTGTAAGAATAAGAGACTGAGCGAGAGCGAGACGAGAGAGCCAAAGAGAAGTGGAGCAGCATTATACTCGTACGGTACGGTACTGTACTGTATTTGCTGTACTCACGGTACTGTGCCATGCCGGTTCCATCCCATCTTCTAGCTACGCAATTCCGACACGAAGCCGCAAGACTCGATCAAGAGAGTCTGTGAATGGCTGATGCGACGATGTTGCCATCGCTCATGATGGAGAGCTCGTTTGGCATTGTGATCACACCATCCGCGCTAGTCTGTTTGCGGCCGGGCGGCTGAGAAATCAAATACGCAGAAACCGTCGGAGTTGAGCTGGGTGATTTGACGGTCATGCTCTCGACCTCGACCTCGACCTCGACCTCGACCTCCAATCGATGGTCTCCCTTGGAACAACAATTGACCGAACTACAGCGGGACAGGAAGAGGAAATCGCAGAAGAGGAAAGTGCGCACTATGACTCTCACTCTCACTCTCCCTTTCACTCCACTCGCTACCGAGTCCCTGAAGCCCCAGCCACAGCCTCAGCCCCGGTCTGGCCCACGCAGCCGGGATCTCCAGAGAAGGGTCTTCACCATCCCTTGGCAGATCTTACGTCACGATGTATCGATGGTACCACTGCACGTGACAAATTGCACGTGATTCGGAGATAGAGGGTCTAAAAGCCGAGAAGAGGCTGAGTCGGGGGTGGGCCTCGGGCCTCGGCCCCAGCCCAGCCACTAGACTACATCCGTCCTAGAGACGGGAGTGGGCCGTCAAGGGTTAATTCGACTTCCGTAGGTTTACGTCATCTACTCAAAAATATCCACTACCGGGGATAAATAAATATCGATCGCCGGATTCTGTCCTGCCTCACGGCCCAGGGCCCAGGGCGCAAGGCGCAAGGCCTGGGGCCTGAGGCCTGAGGCCAAAATAACCGACTCGCAGCGCATCCGCCATCAATCACATCTCCACGCAGAGCATCTTTCTCGTATTCCCTTACCTGTCCACCATCCACTACCTTCTCCTCCTCCTCCTCCTCCTCCTAATTCATCTCTCTCTCGCTCAATCATACCCATATCCCACTCACCACTTCTCTTGGTGTTTTCCCCTGACCTACCTGGCTTCCAAGTCTCTCGTTTAGAACAAAAATTCAATTCCGCCACGACTCACTCACGACTCAGGACCGCACCCACTCTCCGTTATTACTGACCTGGCGAACCTTCATCCCAGTCTTTTACGAATACGACGACGAGGACTTGGATACGATACCTACACACATCTACATCGTCGCCCGTCCTCCACACTCCTCTTGCGTTCGTCCGGTCTGGTGCATTCAAGACCGTCCGTCACACCATGTTGTCCCGACCATATCTGCGGCTCCTTTCACTCCTCGCCGTCGTGTTCGCCGTCGCTCAAGCTTCATGGTTCGATGCCGACATCCGTGCCTATGAAGTCGGAATTGTACGAAGACAAGCATCCGGGGCTTCCGGCGCTGGAACACCAGTACCAGATCCAACGCCGACAACCACTGAAGAGCCGGTAACGACACCTCCTGCCCCAGCACCCAGTACCCCAGAAGACACGCCGACTACACCTTCGACTCCTGCCTCAAACCCCGCCGCCAGCACGCCTACATCTGACCCTCCAACAACGCCGGGTTCTCCAACTGGCGACCCAGAGAGCTCCTCTGGCCCTACGAGCCCAGGAGCTCCGAGGACAACGGCAACCTCGACCACGACCACGGCCCCAAGGACTACCGCTACGCCTACCCTCACCACAGCCGTCGTAATCAATACAGTCGTCGTCACCATCTCCGGCAGCGTAGTCAGCTCGCTCCAATCCTCAACCGTCACCTCGGCCCTTCCGATCGCCACCGCCGACCTGAACAGCGATGGAACGAAGGCTTCCTCTGGTATGAGCACGAAGACGCGCAACACCATTATCGGAGTTGTTGTCGGTGTCGGTGGAGCCATCATCCTGGTTGGACTCGGCATCGTAGCCTTCCGAATATGGGGCCGCAAGAGGAACAACGAAGAGAACGATGGGCTCATGAGCATGGGCTATGTAGGCAACCCGGGCCATGAGAAGACGGGCAGCACGTCTACACCAGGCACCACAAACCCTTTCCAAAGTACGCTGGAGAACTACCACGACCCAGCACGTCAGGGCAACGTCAATGCCTCGTCGAATTTCTGATCGCCCCTCGAGCAGGTTTGCTGTGGCACTGGGATTGGCCGGAGTTTCGGGTCTTTACTGAAGGCAGGTCATGGCATTTTTGGTGTAGGTCCCGGGCGCATATCGTCGATACGTCTATTTAGATGGTCACGTTGTCTTCTTTTGCCGTGCATTTTGGAAGCGATGGATGGATATGGATGGGATGAAACGGAGTTCTTGCTATTTCCATCGAAGCTTCTACACTTCTTTGCTCTCACGACCCAAATACCTTTTGCAGCGCAGCTATCACTCTGTACCTAATTAGGAAGCTCAAAAAAGAACGGTGTGTGTGGATGCCGCTTCGGCGGATCTACTACCTAAGTAATAATGTGATTGATCTATATCGAGCCGTACTTGTACTGCAAGGCTGGCTGGCTGGCTGGCTGGCTGGCTGGCTGGCTGGCTGTCATATCAAAGCCTTTTGGCCCTGCCCCCTTGCTTTGTATGAATCCGGTCATCCTTCGTACTTGTAGATGTACTACCGGTACGTACCTATCTATTCTGGACGACCAACACATCTGGCGCCTCTCAATCCTCCAGGCGATTGGGCCGAGCCAATCCCATCCAAGAATAACTGCATTCGCCACATGCCATCCCAAGCGCCCTGACATGCAATAAATGGCAGCGGTCAAGTACCGTCCCAGCACAGCCCCCTGGGCCGGCACCTACAGCACGGAGCAACTACTACTTAGTAGTACTACTACTACTTACTACCTGCAGACTGCAGTACCCCCCCCCTGAAACCACTGGCACTCGAGCACCCACCGACGATCAGTACTCTCATAGGTACCGGTAGTCAGGCCCTCCACCCCACCGGCCACGCTGCTCCACTGCACCTGAAACTCGGCTTGCGACAACTATAGTACAGTGGGCAACAATCTAATGGTCCCAGGCCACGAACGGATTTACTACGTACCAGAGTAATTGGTAAAGCCGCCGTTTTAGTAGTACTTCGAGCTGTAGAACCGGTAGTATTCTCGACTGGACCTGGCTGGGGGCGTGGTCGCTGGCCTTGTTTGTTTCGAAACAAGGCCTTTCAGAAAGACCGTTGAAGTATGTATGGGTGGGTTGGGTTGGGTTGGGTGCGTGAGTGCGTGCGTGCGTGTGTGCGTGCGTGAGTGCAAGAGAACGGACGGACGGCCGGTCCGGTCGGGTCGATCAAGAAACGAAACGCTGTTAAGTCAATTGAGTCGTTTGTAAATCATCATCATCATCTACTTCTCCTTCTTTTTACTTCTTATTTTTTTCCTCTTCTTTCTTCTTCTTCTTCTTCTTCTTCGCCCTCTCTCTCTCTCTCGCGTTGTCGTCGTTGACGACGATGAGGTTATCCGCGGCTCGGACGATGATGGGCGGTGGTGTGCTACCGGTACTGCTGGTGGTGTGGATGGGAGGGGGCGGCGTCGCGGCGGGTGGCACTCGTGGCACTGGTACGGGTACTGGTACCACTAGTACTAGTGGTGCGCTTTACGAGATGCTGGACATGTGCGTCGCTGGTTTCGCGGGCTTGCTCCACGTGAGGGCGGAGGTGAAGACTTTGGATCTACAGGTTCGTTTTTTTTTCCCCGTTTTCTCTACGTTCGTGTTGATATACATGATATGTATGAAGGAGGGTCTTTGTCTGCTCCCCGAGCAACAAAAGGAAAACCCCCCGACCACCCTGCTCCCCCCAGATCTAAGGAATCGACTAAACCCTTTCTTCCCCGCGGTAGACCTTCTCCTCGGCCCTCGCCGGCATTGCCTGCGAGCCCATCACCACCACGGATGACGTCCGCCGTCCCTACGCCGTCGGAAGCGACACCTTCACCGACTATGCGAGCGCGGCGGTCAGGACGTGCAATAATCAGAAGAATAAGTGCGCCGAGGTCGCGAATCAGGGCGGAGGTGGGAGCCCGGTAACCTTGGAGGATTGCAATGAGCAGGAGGGTGAGTGTCATTTCTTTGCGTTCCTCCTTGCTCTGATGGCCTTTTCTCGCTCTTGTTTGTGGGAGAGGGGGTGGAGGGTGGAGGGATGGGACGGCTATGCGAGAAGAACAGATGGGAAAGCAAAGAAGATGAAGAGGAAAAAAGAAAGGGGGAAGGGCAGTGCAGCAGCAAGAGGAGTAATGGGAAGAAGAGAGCCAGAGGGAGAGAAAAGTAAAGGGAAAAGAGGGAAAGAGAGAAAGAGAGAGAAAATGGAGAGAGAAAAACTTGCTAACCGTCTCTTGCGACATGCGTATAGAAAAATGCACGAGCAACGCCGTCACCACCGACCCGTCTACCATCGGCGTGGCACCTCCACCGCAAGCGACACCTGCACCACCCAGCCGCAGCTTCGTGGAAGAAGCATCGCCGATATCCCCTCCCCCTTCTTCGCCTCCTGCGGCCGACCCTCCTACTGTTGACTCTCCTACTGCTGACTCTCCTGCGGCCGACCCTCCTGCTGCCGAACGTCCTTCTGGCAACTCTCCTGCTGCCGAACGTCCTTCTGGCAACTCTCCTGCTGCCGACCCTCCTGCTGCCCACTCTCCTGCTGCCGACCTCCTGCTGCCGACCCTCCTGCTCACAATCCTCCTGCTGCCGACTCTCCTGCTCACAACCCTCCTGCTCACAACCCTCCTGCTGCCGACCCACCTGCTCCCGTCCTTCCTGCCCCTCCGAACAGGTTGGCGAGCGCAGAGTTGTTGAAGCCGACGCTACATTCCTCTGACGCGGAGTTCTTTTACTTCTGCGATCCGTGAGGAGCTGGGCGAGGAGAAAGCATAAGGGGGCGGGGTGGCATGAGACACGGCGTTATAGGCTTGGAGCGAGGAAATGGACTAGTGGATTACGAGGAGATGATCGATACCCCGATAGAAAGAGAGAGAGAGAGAGAGAGAGAGACAGAGAGAGCGATATTCAGACGGAAATGATACATATATATGAACTCTGCACGATGCCAGTGGAACTCGGAAGGGGGGGGGTTTATGTCTGATATAAAGGGACGTCTCAAAGCCAAGGATCGAGGGGCTGAGAGAGAGGAGAGGCCATCTATCTAGTCTTAGGGCTGTGGTGTGCCAGAAGCCCGAACAGGTGCTTCGTCGGTCGTGGGACCGAGGGTAACTGGCGCAGAGCTATCTCGCAGTTTGGCCTTCCTCGTGGGAGGAGACGGCGAGCGGAGCCTGCGTTTGGTATTCACGCGCAGGAAGAGTTTCATTCATACAGATGGACATGCAGATGGAAGAAACGAATTCGTTGTACGTAGTGCGAGAGCATCTACAAAGACGGAACCTGCTCTTCTTCGCCAGAAGAAGTGGGTAAAGGGGATGATGGCCCCTCTGGAAAAGTAGAAATTTTGCTTCGAACATATCCACATCGGGCGGCTGTTACTCGGACGCACGTACATGCTGGTAATTGGCATCTGGGGACGGAGTCCACAGTATGACGGAGAGATGGATCTTCGCAAGTGGTGTTGGTGTTGGTGGCCCTCTGTTGTCTTTAGAAAAAGAGGCTTGGAACGAGAGATCCGTTCGTGCGTGCTGTTCCAGTTTTAGCAAGCTGAGGTTGAAGTGAAAGGGTCCCTCGAGTTTCAACCTTTGGCTTGCAGATGGGGGGGGCTGGAAAAGACGAATGGATTAGAATGTAGCCCTGCCTGAGAATCCGAACAGACGGGAAGAGAAAAACAATGTATGATGATTATTGAAGGGTTTCCCCGGGAAGGCGACGAATAAGCTAACCCTAGCTGCAAAACGTTGCGCATGAAGACATTTCCAAAGATGCAAGCAGACCCGAAAGAAGAAGAAAAAAAGAGGGAAAAATAACCCCCTCTCCCACCCCGGAATAGATACATGAGGGGATAGAGAGGAGCGGAATAGCCTGTGGAGTCAGAGGGTTTCTCCCCTCCCCAAGTCCACCTGCTATCAACCCCCGCCCGACCGTACCCTCCCCAACACCTCCGACAAGTATATATGTACAATTTATCCAAGACCACAAGCGCAAAGCGAGCGGTGGCCTGCACGTCTCGCTGTATGTAGGCCTCCGTCGTCCTGGACCAAGAAGCGTAGCCGTTCCCCCCCCATCTCCATCCCACCTTCCCAACTCCGGGTCCATCCAACCTAGTCGCTCCAGGGGAGAAAAAAAAAAAGGGAAAGAAAAAAGAATCGCTTCCTCTTCGTGCCGTCCGTTTCTCCCGATCCCAGGATCCTGCAATCCTGAGGGGCCAACCAAAACCGCCTATCTCTTCGCGTCCTTCACGGGCTTCGGCTTCCGGTACGGCCGGTTGGTGACGATGTGGATGTAGAACGCCAGTAGGCCCAGCCCCGTCATGGCGGCGAGGACCAGCACCAGGATGAGGAACAGCATGGGCGTCGCCTGCAGCACGGCGGTCGCTTTGGGTGTGAAGCCCAAGAAGCGGAAGGCGTTCGGCCCGGAAAATGCCTGGCCCATGATGGAGTCGAGATGGGAAGAGCTTCTGCGTGCTCGGGGCTCGGGAGGTGCAGGTTCCGGACTTGCGAGAGAGAGAGAGAGAGAGAGAGAGAGGCGGCCGGGGCGGCGGCTTGCGATGGAGGAATCGACCTTTGCCTCGAGGGTGCAGCAGGAGTAGCGAGTCACGGTCTGGTGTGTGTGGGAAGAGGTTGCAGCGTTGCAGCGTTGCAGATTTGCTTAATCGAGAGGGGAAGAAAAGAAAAGAAAAGAAAAGAAAAAAACACTCTGCGTAGAATTGATAGGATCGATAGGAAGGTCAAGGTGCGGGTAAGAGGAGAAGTCAGAAATGGCTGTTACTTGGAGAGGGAAAAAGAGTACAACGCAGTTACCGCCGCCTACTCGGGGGATAAAAATGGTTATATCGGTGTGTCTCTTGGGAAACTTGATGGCCGGACGTCCGCGACGTCTCGACGTCTCGACGTTTCAAGGCGCAGGATCGTAGGCAGTCGTCGGCAGTTGTCGGGGACCTGGATACGTTTTTTGGTTGGTTAAAGGGCGGTTCGCGACGGTGGTGGTGGTGGTGTGGTGGTGGTGGTGGTGGTGTTTTGGACTATTTCCCACGGTGCTGTTGAGATCGCAGGTTTGAGAAGTGTTGGAGAAGGTTGAGATGGGGTGGGGGTTGTTTGGAGGCCGCTGGTCTCGCTTGTCTTGGCACGGCCATTGGTTGGCCGGAGACCGGATGATGCAGACACGATGTGTTTTGGAGAACGCGTTTGATATGGGATACAGCAGAGGAGCGTTACATATGGCATCTCAAGTCTCCTGCAGAGAATGTACAGGACGTGGTGGATGGACGGGGGGGAAGATTGACTGGTCCTCATGATTCCCCATCTGGAAAGAGCGGAAGATAACCAAGGCTTTGTAGAGCCGCGCTCGCGGCAGACTCGGGGATCCGCTTCTCAGGCCAACTACAGCCAGGGAAGTTATGTTGTACTCTACTCCAAAACTCACAGCGCTGTCTTGAAGCTCCGATGCTGTAATCCGGCGCCCGAACGGTCCGAATAGCAACATTTCTCTCAAGAAAAGCCTGCAAAGCAAAAAACCCCCCTCCCCCCCAAAATGGCAACCTGACTATAAGCAACTCCATCGGCCAACCCCGGAAGATGAAAAAGATACAATTTCTACTCCTTGGTGCTATTTCTAAGTGCCAAGCTATATCTGCCTCGAAAACAGAAAGTCGGGAAGGCAGAAGGATGTCCTCTGAAAAGCCACGGCCCTGGTGAGCACCGCCGCCACGGATGATTCACTCGGATCGTACAACCGCACGCACCGAGGCAGGACAGAGATTCTGCAAAGCAGGATGCCAGAATCTCCAAGCGGTACCAGGACCCGACTCTGGATACACAGCGCCACCCGGTGGAGACGATATCTTGGGACGCTGCAGAACTATACACCGCGAATGTGTTGAGTCCTCGGGCGGGAAAACGTACAGTAACACCCACGACTGTTCGAGCAAGTGCTGTGCTCTCAACAAGCGAATGCGAATGGTACTAGTCCGAGTACCGCTTGCTAGTCCGAGTACCGGCTGCTTGTCTGGCAAGCAACGTGCACGAAGTTTTGCAGTTTTTCGCATGTCTTTTTTTTTTTTTTTTTTTTTTTTTTTTTTCATTTCTACACGGCTCGCTTAGTACTATGACTACGGAAAGATAAGCGAAAGTAAATACCCATATTACCTTCGGTGGAATCTTACATAAGAGCGTCGCGCAAGAACCAGTGCTCGAAATCTATCTGTCGCACTTAGGGTGGGGCATGTAGAGGTCAATTCGTCAACGAGCTCCATTCTCCTGGTGAGACGTCATGGTGGCATTCTATCACCAACACGTTCTCGAGAAAATACCTCTGACGGGGGGGGGGGGGCATCATGCTCCGGAGGTTACTACTAGATCTTTGACGACTCGGATTCTTTAGTCGTATGTTCTATGAGTACAGGAAAACGAGGTCTATGATTCTTCTGTCCGACAAGGGCAAGACGTCATGGGGGCCTGATGATGCACTCACTGTGTTGAGCATGACTCCAAGCTGGATCGATATGCACGCAGCTCATCAAGTTTCGTGAAGGTTTCCTCGCTTGGCCGACCAAGACCACGAAACTCAACATGAGCTGCTGTCATCAGAGCCGGAAAAAAAAAAGATGTGCCAATTGAGCATCTTGCACTTCATGTCCTGCAGCCAGTGAGTCTTGCTCTTGTGGGCATATCTCATCCCTGTTACATTTCCTACGCCCAGTGAGATTCGGACAACAGCAGGTCGCGATATGCGCGGCATATAAACACCCGCATAGTTACTGTCCAAACAAAGAGGTGTGTCGAGAATTGGTGAGAGCGTGACGGAGGATGCCTGTGTCCTGGAGCGCGAGAGGGTAGGTGAGCAGAGGGGAGGGAGTCTTGAGAACGTAATTGGAGATGGTAGCTGTCGTGGACTTGAGACGGAGAACCCTAAACTCGTAGGGTGAGCTTGAAGAGTGCTTGCTGTTGATTGGGATGTATGTCGGCCCGGGAGTGGTGTTTGCATGTCGAACAAAGTATATGACGACTCAAACATGAAATTTCGCATGCTCTTCTTCGCTATCAGTTCCGGGTCCTTGGACTATATAACGGTGCGGTAACCGGTATTGGGATCTTTAGCATAGGTATAGGAAAAACAAAGTTAAGATGTTGAACAAAGAAGGAGATTCACATCACGTGCAGGCGGCAAAGACCGCAGAAATTTTCGGATTGCAATTTGAAATAGTCCTTCATTTCATGGCGTGTCTGCCTCGATATAATCGAGAACCTTAGAATCTCTAGCTGACTGGTGCCAGGAAAACACTCATACACGAGGCGTGCCGCCCTCCCATTGATGTAAACAGACTCAACCTCGACCAAGTCTCAACCATCCAGCACCCAAGTATCACACTACCAAGGCCGCTCTCATTTTTCATTTCTCTCAATGGCATCTCCAGACTTCGAACTCTTCTCCTCCCTCCGCTATGATCCCCTCCTCACCCCCCTCGCCGTCAACACCGAAGCCTGGGACGGCGAGGAAAAACTCTTCAGCCCCTTCTACATGCTCCCCTACCACCGCGACCGCATGCTGCAAGCCGCCGAGCACTTCGGCTGGACCAAAGCCGCCGACACCATCCGCGGCACCGAAGGCTTCAACCACCTCCTCAAGACACTCACCGCGTCCATCGACACGCAGTCGCCGACGCCAGCGAGAGTCAAGGCGCGGCTGAGCCACGACGGGGCGATCTCCGTCGAGAGTTCGACCGCGATCCCCGCAGTCACGAGGTGGAACCTGTATCCGGAGAGGATTCCGCATCCCTCCTCTGATGCCGCGAGCCAGATGATGAGAGTCAGTCCGTCGACGGGCGGCGCTCTGACGCTTGGGGACGGGGACGCGGTGTATGGTGATGCGCCCAAGGGCCCGGCGTGGGAGGTGCTTCCCGACACGGTACGCACCGCGCCGTCGCCGTTCACGAGCTACAAGACTACGAGTCGGGATGTGTACTCGAGTGCCAGGGAGAGAGTCGGGATCACGGGTATGGCTGAGAAGAGGGAGGTTCTGATCGTGAGTGAGAAGGAGGGCGAGATCATGGAGGGGAGCTTGACGAGTGTTTTCTTCTGGAGAGACGGCAAGTGGACTACCCCGCCAGTCTCGAGTGGGGGCCAGATTGGGACGACCAGGAGATGGGCGCTCGAGAAAGGGCTCTGCGTTGAAGGTATCGTGAAGGTCGATTCTCTCGTTGATGGAGAAGAGTGCTGGATCAGTAACGGAGTAAGAGGGTTTCAGTACGGGAAGATAAGGCTTTCATGAGTTTAAAGCATGATAATCTACTCTCAGCTGCCTTTGGCTTGAGCAATCAACCCCCTCTCCCTCCCCCTCCCCCTCCCCATCCCTACAACCGACTCCCTACGGTAAATTAATTTTGATACCACGACTGCCCTTCGAAACCTAGGCAGGCTTCTTCCCAGCCACGTCTTTACTCGTGTTTCCGTCATAATAATGTGCCATCTCCAGCCCAGCCCTCTTGTATCCACACTTTACGTAGAAGCCCTCGTTGGCTTCGCTGCAGTCTAGGATACACTTGTAGCATCCCACCTTCTCCGCCACGAAATCCAGCGCCTGGATAAGCTTCAGTCCGAGTTTCTTCCCTTGCTGATCCTTTGCTACTGCAATATCCTCGATGTGTCCGACGAGGCCCAGGTTATGAATACTGTTCCAATTAGCCCTTGTGTGCCGCCAAACTGCCGCATACTCGGGGCAGAAACGGGGAAACCAAAAAAAAAGAAAAAACCTACAATTTCCGCTCCACGATCAACGCCCCGGTTCCTACGATCCGGCCCTGGTCCTCAATGACGAGCAGATAGTAACCTCCCTTCCCTTGTCCACTCATCCAGTCGTAACGCTCATTCCACGCCTCTTGAGAGATATCGCCTACCGTCGTAAGGACTCGCAAGACGTCAAGGAAGCCAATCGCGTAGTCTGATTTTCGCAGCGCGCGGATCGTGTATGAAGACGGGAGTGAAGCCGCGATTGCGGGGGATATCAGCTCGGAGCCAAAGAGTCCACACTCTTCTCCGGATCGAGGGGCACTTGTTCTGACGGCGGCGGCGGCTGTAGTCTCGCTAGCGGTTTGTGCGGCTTCTCGAATGTGGTGCGCCATGTCTTTGCTCTCCGCCATGGTGCAGGTAGAAAGTTAGTTGCAGCAGGGAGAGGACCGGGGAAAGACTCTTCGAGGTGAGTAAATAAAGCTGTGGGTTTGGTCAATAGAGCTCCGGCTTTCAACTTGGGAGGGCAGCGTACCTGGAAAGCTTTCCCGTGGGTTGATTGATCAGAGAAGAGGCTAACCGAGGCAAATTACTTAGAAGCTCTTTGCTCTCTCTCTCGTCAGTCCTTGTTTAAAACGGTTTCGAGGCGCGGCTGGCTGTCGAAATGGAAATTTGGCGATTGAATTGAGGGGTATGGAATGCCGAGCAGCACTTGCTTGGATTGCAGCCGAGTCGTCGTTACTTTATTTACCCCTGTCTAGCTTCAACGATTCAACGACATCAATTCTTGGATTCTAACGACACTTCATCTGGTTCTAGACTTTGCAAAAGATATATTACACAGTTGGCTCCGATCTGAAGAAGAAGAAAAAAGGAAAAAAAAAAAAAGAATAACCCCACTCAAATTCTCTAAGCTCTACCCACCTCATCTTATCTTGTCGTCGGACGTCTACAAGGTCCTTGCTCAACTTGGCCATTAAACTGGGAAGGCTTTTGCTTTCTTATCTTCGATGTCTGTCTGTATCTGCCTTTTCCGCTTCAAAACTGCTTTGTTATTAAATTCGAATTTGGAAATCTTAGCTCTTTGCAAAAGTCAATTCAATGCGGCTATCATTCCCGCTTTCCTAAACTTGAGCCGTCATCGTTGCTGTTGTTGAGTTTGCAGATGAAGCGTGTATATAAGCATCTATTGTTTTGATGACTGTCATTACAGTAATCCACCAGATGATACCTAGAATCCACCACCCTCTTCGTGGGGCGAGAAGTAGAGCAATGGACTTGTTGCACATGTCACCTTCAGGAGAAAATTATGTCGTACCGACTACTTGGGTTGCCTCGCAAAAGGTTTGTTTGGACTTTGGAAATGTGGATTCTTGGAGTATCTATCTAATCCTAATACACAGTACGTAGGATCATATCTATTAGATACGCACATTCATACTTCGTCTGTCATGCCGTCATAAACATCACGATCACCTTTCGCCCTCCCCTCATCCCAAGACTGACCAGCAGCCAGCAACCCCCGTACCTAGCCTTCGCTTCAGGTTTCACCTAGCAATTATACCTCACTCCCCGGCGACCCAGCTCCTTCCGGCCCACCGCCTCCTCGGGCCAAACCCAGCCCCTCCCCCTCTTCGCCTCCCTCTTCTCCGCCAGCTGCGGCTCGGGGATCCACTCGTCCTTCGGCAAACACTTCCTCCGCGTCCCCTCCGCCGGTGCCCCAATCTCGCTCTTCCAGCCCACCTGTCCGGGCAGCACATCGTCCCGGGCAAGCATATGCAGATACCACAGCGCCAGCAGCGCCGTCATCTTCTGCTTCTCCTTCGGCTTCACCTCGCCGGGCTCCTCCATCTCGCCCTCGATGCCAAAACCATGCTCCACGCTCGCGTACACATCCCGCGGCGGGCTCGACGCTGCCAGCTGGATTGTCTGGATCTCGAGGTACCCGAAATGCGGAACCGCGTCCCCGCCGTTGCGCACGACGACCAGCTCGATCTCCGTGATGATGAAGCCGTACCGGCAGCCGTGCTCGCGCATGCAGCGGTGCAGGTGCGCGAGCCCGCGGAGGTACTCAACCTTGCGGTGGTTGCCCTCGACGCGCATGCCCGTGTTCCAGCGGTCAAAGGACTTGACCAGGCCGACGACGCGGCCGAGGCCGCGCCCGTAAATGAGCTGTGTCGTGTCGTCGGTGTAGTTGGAGATGAAACTTGGATCCGAGGCCGGCGTGGCGCTTTTCGGGGCAGGGCGCATGGCGAGATGGCGCGGGCCGAGAGAGAGGGAGAGTGCCGCGTTGAGCTTCGTGGCGTAGAAGGAAGTGTAGATGTTCTGCAACTCGGCTTCCGTCTCGGGCTGCGAGGACGTGCGTGCTGGGGTAGGGAAGGTGGAAGAGGGCAGATTGATGTTGAGGAGGGCTTGTAGGCCGGGGATGGCGGCGATCGTGACCGGGTTGAAGGTTGTCCAGGGGCGGATCTGGCGGACATCCCACCAGAAGTGCTTGCTGTTCGTATCGCGGAGGTGGATGTTGAGTTGGCGGACGAGCGCTGGCGCGGGGTTGGGGGACGTGAGGTAGGCCATCATCGAGGTGCTGGGACCGTCGTCGATGGGCGAGAGGGTCATCTCGTCGAGGCAGATGGCATTCTGGAGGGGAGAGGGAGTGCGTTGGGCCATGTAGAAGCTGGCTGGGTTGAAGGTCTCAGTCTGGCTGCTAGTCGCCGAGGGGATGTAGGTAGGCATTCGGCGGTAGGTTGGATAGCCGTATTTGCCGAGTGTTTGAGAGTCCAAGAGGTCAGCGCTTGCTGCTCGAAGTCGTTGATCGTTGGAATTTCGATCTGGATTTGGATCTAGATCTGGGGTGGAGAGTGTCAGAGGCGAACACAGGGTGGACATGGAGCGAGTGTGCGAGGGAAAGTTGTCCTGCGGCGCGGGGATGGACTCCGGGTTGGTGTAGCTTCTCGTGTGGGATGGTCTGAAGCTGGTGTTGCTGGACTTGGTCGTGGGTAGCTTTCTGGCTCGCTTGGGCGGAGAATGGATCTCTTGATCCTGCGGCCGGATCTTGGGCAGCAACAGCGGACCGAGCTGTCTGATGGGTGGTGACCTGGCTGGCGTGGTCACCTGCGTGCCGACCGACTCAGGTGACGAGCCATGCGAGTATATAGATGCGTGGGAGCCGGAAGGGCTGTGGCTCATGCTCATGTGGAAAGAAGCACTGTTCAGAGCCTCCTCGAAGGAGAAGTCGGGGGGCGTAGCTGGGTCGCTTCCGAACGAGAAGGCGTAGTCGAAGGACATGTTGAAGACTTGCGGACTGCTCGTCCATCATGTTGTTAGCCATAGTGTATGTATGGATGGATGGATGGATGTATAGATGGATGCATAGATGGATGAATGGGTGGATGTATGGGTGGATGTATCAACAGAACTGTACTCGGTTCACTTACCGAGCAAGATCTGTAGCGACGACGGGATGAGATCGCTTGTCGAATCGATTAGACGCTATCGATTAAGTATGGTTGATATATGAGGAGGCCAGCTCTCTAATGGTTGGTGTACACAGACGATGACGGCAAGGAGATTCGTGGCGAGCACAGCTCGTGTGAGTTTTTGGAGTGGAGTGGAATGGAATGGAATGGAATCTAAAGATGTGAGAAGTTGAATGATGCTGAACCAACAAATCCCGAGGCGGCATGCTGATACTTATCCCATCCTCCTCTCAGGTCTTCCGGGTCTAAATGTAGGTGAAACGCGGAGGAGAGAGAGAATGCTCATCGCTTGTTTCTTGGTCCAGGCCAGACGGCCGTTTGGTAGGCCCCCTCGACAGCCGCCGCATGAGCTCGCCTGCATAGCAGATGAGCTCGGCAGCAGTACTAGCGAGCAGTACTAGGAAGCAGCAGAACTACCACCTGGATCGGCATGCGGCATCTGCATCTGCATCTGCATCTGCATCTTCAGCTCCTCTGACTCATATTGGAGCTGCCCTGTACGTTGTTTGCAGGAAGGACGTGGACATCAAAGCGTGATAGAGAGAAAGAGAAAGAAAGGAGCAATAGCAATCGCAACATTAACAACAACAGCAAAACGCAGAACGCGCAGAACGCGCTGCACCACCGCGTCGGCAGCTCCCTCCTTCCAAGCGAAAGGTACATGAATACACGAATACACGAACACTCAAGCTTTGCCGAGACTATCATACCTCCCGTCTATCCCTCGCTCTTGGATGGGTGTACTGTATTTGTTTTTTTAATGTTAGCGACCCGGCGGCTCCTCAGAGGGCAACAAATGAAACTCGCGAGAGCCGCTGCTTCGCCCAGGAGAAAGCCGCGCAGTCTCTCAAGCGCCATCCGTCAATGTGCATGGCATAGCCGGTCTCGAAGCGCCCGAGGAGATTTGATTTGACGGCGCTTGACTCTAAATTTATCACGTTTCTTTCTTTGTCTTGTCGTGTCTAACCAAGGACTCGCTTCTCCCTATTGATTGGATTGGCATATTGATTGGCCGGTCAACACGCGCGCGTCGTGAATGGAGAGCGCACCACCCGCCCGGGTCATCCCTGAGCTGGCTGCAGCAAGCCGCGTCTTTGCTCGAGTGCGAATGCGAGTGCGAGTGCGAGTGCGAGTGGGAGAGTACCGAAGACTCATTGTCTGTTGTCATTGTGGTTGTCGGTATCATCATCGAAGCTTCTTATTGGATGCGCCTTTTGTTTCGAGATGACCCGTTTCACACCGAGGCGAGCTGTATGCTGTATGCTGTATGTGTGACTCACTCACTTTCTATCGATGTGTAATGTAACAGATATGTAATGTACAAGTAAAGTATCTTGGTGCTGTACGTGAAGTGAGAGAAAGAGGCTGGGACGCTTGGGATGGCGGGGATGGCGGGCCGTACACACACGTGACTCGGTCCGATCTTTCGTCCCATCAGAAACACGTGACTTCCACCTCTCTTTCACACGGGTACCGGTAGGACAAGTCAGCACTACCTGGCCCATCAAAAAGAATACTCATGATATTTCCCTGCACCCTTAGACACCAAAAATATGAAGTCAGGGAAAAAAAAGTAGCTTTTGAAATTCCTCGATATGCAGCGGTATCATCAATGTCCATGTGCTATGTATGTACAGCTCAATTCACTACTTACTCCAAACGCCATGATCATGAACCAAGCAGGCTGTTCTCCGAACCCTCTCGGGTTCTGGTTCGGAGCGATATGTACGGGGCTGACTGAACCGGACATGTAATAATGGCACTCCGTTGACTCTGCCTTCGCACCTTCAAACCAATGCTGCGTCACCCGAGAGACGAGAGACCAAAAGATCTCTCCTGATTCATGGGTAGTTATAGTCCAAAAGCAAAGTCTGCTCATCTTCATAGTCATAATCTTCTCAACCTCGGCCAAACCGACGATCAAAAAGCTTCAATACGCCCATCACACTCGCGGCCTCGACCTCCATGGGGGCTCGTCCAGGGTGAGCAGGCGGAGTAGCATGTAGTCTTCCAAGCCAGGTATTCAGCTCATCGCTAGCTTGATCAAAGTTTTTATGTGTAGCGAGAGTTTTGTACGTCTCCGCACACGACAAGCTGGGAGGTGGTTGAGACGGGGGGGCAACAGGTAGTGACTTGCAGCATCCACCACCCCCAGCATTGCCTCCACAGCAGCCGTCAGGCACAGTAGCACCTGATGCGCGAATAGCGGCGAGTGATCGACAGAAGAGCCCGGACTTGGGATCAGACTGGCATTGTTGACACGTACCGGGGCCATTGACGCAGGGATTTGAGGGAGCCGAGGAAACAACAGGGCGATGCATGTGGTTTGGTTGGAGGGAAGGTAGCTTTCTAGACGGGCCATCGGTATCGGTGTCGGAAAGTGGGGGAGTGACTTCGTTCAAGAGAGGTGCCAATCGATTTTCCACATCTCGGTCATGATGAGAAACGTTGGCAGCGATAGCTGCAGCCTCAGCACACATGCAATAAGTACCGTCTTCACAGAAGCCACATGACTCTCCCGGTGGTCGTTGATTGGTATGGATCACAATCTCTTGCCCTTGTATCGGCTTAGATGAAAATTGTGCCGTGAAATCGATTTCTAGCGGTGTAGAAGGCTCCGAATACCGTTGGCGCTTTTCCTGGAACTGCTCTGCCGAGGGCGAGATCGGCCTCTTCAGCTCCATCTGGGATATGTCACTCACGGCCTTGATAGTTTCCTCCAAACACTCGCAGCGGGTATCTGGAGTACACTTGCCACAGCCTGAGGACGAGATAACCATGGCTTGCTCAACACAGGCACAGTTGCTAGTAGAGGTACATGAACCGCAACCAAGATGCTCTGGCTCCGGCCCTGGTTGAGGAGCACGGGCGGAATACTGTTCAGGCTCGGCAGCTCTTGGTTCGCTATGTCGAAGGTGTCGAGGGGGTAGCGGAACAGCATCGGTGCCTGTCGTTTGCGCACCATTCCGCAGGTATACCAGTTCCGCAAGAGCAGCCTCCTTCTCTTTCCTCTCATACTCCGCGATCCGATCCAGGGTATCACAACGCACTCTCCAAGAGTGTATCTCGCCACTAAACCTCTCGATTTCAGCCTCCAGTTTGCCAATCTTGCTCCGCAGATCCGCCTCCCGTCTCTGGTGATCATTGTTCATCTCTTCGAGTTGTTCCTCCAGTTCTCCTACTCTCGCAGCACGGCGCTCTCTGAAAGCACGCTGCGCTGCTCGATTCTGGGCTTTGCGCTTTGTCGGCGGGGTATCAGTGGCGGGCTTCCGACCTGGCTTCGGACGTGGCGGAATGATCCATTCTTTGCGGGTCACCATTGTAGGCGTCGTACCAGCAGGAGGAGAGCAGGCATTCATATTCGCAGCATTGATGTTCTTGATCGCGAGGGTTGGGGGAGCTGGAGCTGGAGCAATCGCTGCAGGGGAGCCCGCAGATGAGGGCGTTGAGACAGCAGGTGACGCCATGGGTGGTCACTTGAGAGAAGGACGGCGGTGGGAGTGAACAAAGAGAAGAGGGCTCGTCTTGGATTGATTGTGGGTACCTGCTTTGCTACCATAGACCGTCAATGAGACTGCAAAGCTCTTTTGCCAGCCTGGGGGGGCGAAATTGAGGGAGATGAGAGGTGGAAAATGAGCAAGTGGCAATTGGGGGGGGGGGAGACTTAGATCAATCTGATAAGATCCTGCAAAGGACATGGCGCTAGAGGCTGTTGTTCTCGGTTAGGCGAGCGAGACCGGATGTCCAGTAAACCCCTCATATCGGCTCGGCAAAGTGTTTATGCATGTGGAATCGAGAATTCTATATTATCTTCTCTTAAATATATCAACAGAAAGTATAAATTCAGTGAATAAATGGATATCCGACGATGAGTAGATTAATTGCTAACAATCAAGGGCAGGGCAGAGGTTGCATAGAAGCATACCTTAGGTCCTTTTGTCTAGCCCGAGTGATCATTAACTAAAAGGCCCTGATCTTCCTGGCTTAAGATTGATGTCGTCGCTAGGTAACTTAGTATTTATTGATTTCTTGGTTTCTAAAAAGCATGCCCCAGTTACAGTATATTCAATCTAACGCCTCTGCCGCAAGTACCTACCTAGCCCCGCCCCCGTCGCCCCCGTCGCCCCCCTCCCACTCTCTCCACCGACATCGTGATGAAATGAAGGGGACAGCAGTACATATCCTCCTTTGAGAGATTGAGAAAATATTTATGGTCAAAGTAATTCTGATCCATCTGTATATCGTAATTTCGTATCCAAGTACGCGCAAACAAAGCGACTGAAACTTGTCTATCTGACAATCCCAAGAAATAACGAGACAGAAAATAGCAAAGCACCTCCAGACCCAAGGGTTCCCAGCAATCGTATCTATCCGAATTCCGTTGCGTTTGTCGCTTTTAAAGGTATCTCTCTCTTGGTATCAATACTCTCATGCTCCGTACTCCAAAAGCCCAAACTCGCTTTTTTTCGCCATGCTTTACAAACTATCCTCCTCTACCAGGCACGTCTACCATCTTAGTACCTTCTTGGGGAAGAACTCGTCGATGAGCTCGAGGTAATATGGCTGCACAAGGACAATCAATATATGCTTGGTTGTTGGAGGGGCAGGGAGGGGGAAAACATACCTTCAGCTCCTCAACACTGGGCACCTCGTCGCTCTTGCTGTACAGATCGTACGGGTTAAACCGTCTGACGGCAGCCAACATCTTGTAGTCCTTCTCGTTCATGAACTGCATGTAGGCCTCTTCCTTGTGCCACGGGTAGAAGCTGTGGTAGCGAATCATCGCTAACGCCTCGTCAGGCAGCGTGCTCTGATCTTTGACCACCAGGTACAGGTACTCGTCGTGGCCCCAGCTCAGCATCACGTTGTCCATGCCGCACCCGCGCTCGTAGATGCCGAGCTCCGTGTTGTACTTCGGGTTGTGGTAGTCCGGGTTCTCGGTAAAGGTCTCTGGGTACACGTTCTTGTCGCTGAACTTGCAGCCGACGGGGAACGTGTCGCCGACGACGTCCCACTGGCCATCGGCGCCGTAGAAAGCCATCAGCTTCCCCAGGTCGTGGATGAGGCCCGTGCAGATCATCCACCGGGGGCAGCCGTCCCGACGCATGGCCTCCGCACTCTGGATCAGGTGCTCGATCTGGGACAGACTCGTGTCGGGGTCGCTCTCGTCGATGAAGGTATTCAGCTTCTCCATGGCCTGCCAGATGGTCATCTCGTCCCGAGTCTCGTTCTTGAACTGCTCGCGTTTGGCCAGGTTGAAGGCCACCGTCTGCTTGGTGTGCTGCTCCGTATAGGTGGATTTGACGCCGAAGTCGTCGTCGCGGTACTCGCGGAATTGAGACTGGTCCTTCTCGGCGACGTCGTTAGTCTGGATGTGCTTCTTTTGGCGGTCGGCAAGCAGTGCGGCCTGCTTCTGCTGCCGGAGCTGGTCTTTTTTGACGTTCAAGGCGTCGATACGGTCGGAGATCTCCTCCAGAGCAGCACCCTTCTGGATGGGATATGGAGACGTGACTAAGGATATCATTGTGATAGGTTATCCTTGTTGATGGAATTGGTTGAGGGATGGAGAGAATAAGCGAAGGGAAGATCAATTCGCTTAAGGATGATGGTAGTAGCTTGTTGTTGTTATTATTATGGTTGTTGTTGATATTGTTCAAAAAATGAACAAGATAGACGAGGGGATGCAGAAGATGCAAAGGATGAGGTGACAAATAGAAGGTGTCAACTGGTGAAATGAATAACTTGAAGTACGTTCTTTATTTGTGTCAAACTCGAGAATATCAGGGCAAGCACCCAGTCATAATATACCTCTCAGGCCCAGGTATAGATTCCCCTTTTTAGCCTACGCTAAGGCTTCGCAGCGGGGGAAATCTCCAGATGGGTGTAAGGCGGGAATACTTGCTATTTCACTTGACAGCCCCAGGTGTATGTACTAGTATATCCCCATCTTTCTTAGCATGCTCCTACTAGCAAAAAGAAAAAAAAACGGCGGACGGTAATCCCCGTCCATGAAATCCTACGCCAGGCAACCAGCCGCTGGTAAGGGAAGTGGGATATACTACTCAACGGCGACAGAAGCATGCATCGGTCCAAGAACCGCAACTCTTTCCGGGCCAAAAACGAGCCGTGGCTGCATGACTCGCTTGATCGATTGAGGCAAAAGAGTGTAGAATCAGAGCAGGGAAAAGGAGCTCTGGTCGACGTGTACCCTATCCCACTTACTTGCAACTATCATTACTCACTCGAGAAACGTCACTTCAAGGCTGCTACCTACCTCGTTGTACCGAGTTGAAGGGTCGTCTCGCTACGGAGAGAAAGTGGAGCTATGGAGCTATGGAGCTGGGGCAACGTCGCCGTTCGAAAGGGGGAATTCTCCCCGCGCGGCTACGGGATCACCTCGTCGAAAATTGCTGTTCGTGGAGATGCACCTGGCTGACGTACCAGGTAGTTGTAGACTTGTAGAAGGAGATGCAGGCTTGAGAAGAGGCCCGCCTAACCAGATACAGACCAAGGATAGGATTGCGACCATTCTGCTACAGTGACAGTAGGATGGGTAGGATGGAAATCCTTGCGTGAAGAACGGCCTTTCGAGGGGGGCGACAAGTAACATCCCCGACACACAGAGTAAGGATTTGGCTTAAGACGGATCAAAGTAGGAATATACCCGAAAGTTAGGCATACGCAGTATTTGTCTGAAGATACCTACTTTACTCATGCTCTCTACAGTAGACGAACTTCAACGACCGATACAATACGACCTGGGACAAAGACGGTAAATCGATCGGATCCCAATGTCCGGGAATACGCTCGGGGCTTTTACAGTAGTGTGACATGCAACAAGACGCCAACACCAAGAGCCCGGTCGTTAGAACTCGTACCACCTGTCGTCTAACACATCGAGGTTTGATTGATCGCTCTCTCTGTCTACTTCTTCCTTCCCTTTTTTTTTGCAAATCAAATCAGATAAAGCCGTATCATTCCAAATCAAAGTCTACCCCGTATACTAAGAAAAAAAAGAAAAAAAAAAACAAGAGCCGATTCCCGACAGCCGAGACTTAGATAGCCCCCGCAAAGAAAACAAAAACCAAAAATCAAATCCGATACCCTTTTCCATCCTTCCTTCCTTCCTTCCTTCAAACTCTTCCCTTCTCAACTTTTATTCCTTCTTCCGTAGGTTTTCGGTGCTAGTGCTGCTGTTAAAAGGTAATACGGGGGATACAGAGATGGGTGAATAATTGTTTGATTGTCTAATGAACACGAGGAGTAACCCTTTACTTATACATCTACCGGTAGAAAGGTCTTGACACGTGATAAGTCTATTACTTAATCATAATCTTGACTCGTAATAAGTCTATCACTTGATCACATCCGACACTTCTCACTTAAAGCCTATTTAAATAATAAGGCTCCTACTAAAGTTAATGAAAAATGCTCTCATTGAAACTAAGTCCGACAAAAAGAAAAACATCTTGAAATGATAGAAAGAAAACCAGCCAAAGCCGGAAAACATAATTAAATAAAATTACTTTAAGTGTTCAATCCGCTGAAAACGCTTAATACTGAAGAAGTCTTTTGACTTTCCGTTAAGCTATGCTTCGGAAAGTCTTCTCTCTTTAAGCAGACGGCTCTTTTCCCTTGCTAGCTTGTTTAAATTATTACTAGCAGCCGCGTTATCTAAAATCAAAGAGTTTCTCGCGCTAACTTTCAACTTAATTTCGATTTTTTTTCGGCGCGTAGTACCACGGTACAGGCGTGATTGTTACCCCTTGAGGGTAGATTCTCGCTGTTTTTATAAGCTTTTATTTTACCCGGCTGTATGCCACCCTTCCGCCGCGATTACGTCTAAACAACGCTGTCTTACAGTTCTAATTAAAGCAACAATTCTATCCTTCTCGATCGAATCCCACGCTTCTTAAACGACTCTTCTTAGTCGAGGATAGCTTTGATGAACTTCAGGATATCTTTCTTGAATGCAATCCTTCACCTGTAACCAGACCGTCTCGATCGGGTTACAATTGAGAGATGAAGCTGGGAAAGAAAAGGCAGGAAAAAGCAGCGTTGAAATACCTTTCAGTTAGAATTCAAACCCGTTCGATACGCTTTTGCTATATTCCCGATCCAATAGGACGCTTCTCCGATTTGCTTCGACCACTTCGTAAATCCTATTTCCCCTAGTAAAAACCTCCGTTTCGTACCCTCAGGGGATAATACTACGTACTTACGCCTGGGACGTACTACGTAGCACGTAGTATGTAACAAAGCTTAAATAGATCGAGTCTCAATTTCGGAAGATGATTATTAACAAAAAAATAAAAGCAGCTTTTATCAGTAATTTGCGTTTCGAGTTTAACTAAGTGATTTTTCTAGCTTCGCTTCGTTCAAGTTCGTTTGCCAATGAATTATTATTATTATTTAAGAAAAAATCATTTTTATTGCTTAGAGTATGACCAGTCGTATTGTGTAAGGTTCACAATGATAGGGAATCACTATTCGAGGTTCCGATTAGGCTCCGTTGGTATTCAGACTGATCTCTAGCCCTTCTCAACTCCTGAACTCCAGGTGATCCTTAAAGAAATGTGGCCTGTGTGGGACAGGTGACCGAGCCGAGCCCGCAGAGGGGTTCTGCTCCTGACATATTGCTTAATATAGCTTTGAAATAAATACATAGAAAGACTAGCAAGAGATCGTACAAAAAAAAAGATTATGAATATCGTTGTATAATAAGTTAAAAGAAATTAGCATATCCGTTCTTTTTGTTTTCCTTTTTATTTGGTTTCTTTTTTCTTCCTTTTTTTTGTCATGCGTGACAGTAATAGGTACCTTACAGGAATACCACGTCACGGCCGACAGGAATATTCTATTCGGATACTTAGCATCCGTTTAACTACCGGGAAGCCCTCGCTACACCATGGTTAAGATGAGGATCTGATGAATTAGAGATTTAGATAATGCGTATCATAAATCTCTCATTGTATCCGGGATATTAAGGAAACCATTTATAGTATCGTAGAATTACATATACTGGTCCGAAGGTGCTCCGTAGAGCCCCAGAGATCAGTTCACTACCAAGACATACTTCCACACTCCTTTGTTCTATCTTTGCCTGTCTTCAAAGCTACCTTCTGACTTTTTTCTTCTTCTTTTTTTTCTTTTTTCTTTTTTCTCTTTTTCTTCTTGTTTTTTCTAGTTTTTTTCATTTTTTTTTTTTTTCAAAAAGAATTGATTACAAACTTTGCTTCGTTTTATGAAAAGTATTGTTTATTGCAATTTTGCGCGAAATAAGACGCAGCGAAAGCTCATAACCTAATGAACGATAACACGAAGGATATAAAGATAAGTACATAATCAATTGATTGTCTAATGAACCAAAAGAATAGCCTTCTATTTATGCATTTGGAGAGGTCTTGATACGTAACTGGTCTACTACCTAATCATAGTCTTGACTCGTGATAGGTCTATCACCTGATCACCTCTGACAGCACAAGGTTTGACCGCCACCAATCTAGCCACCACCGACACCGGTTCGTCTCCACCTCTTCATCACAAGTAGTCCTTGTCCGCTTCCCAACCTCTCACCAGCCCGTTTCCGTTTCCATTTCATCTGGATCGCTCGGCCCAAGATTTCCAACAATATTCCAAGTCGTCCATGGAACGATTTCGCTCGAATGTCTCATTTGCTCCTCCTCTGTTGCCCAGCATTGCGCCCATAAACCCAAGTCATCCTCGTCTATCGCTTCAGGTGGAATAACCATTTGCAGCTTCTCCCCAGCGCCTACTATGTATGAAAAGCGCAATGCCTCTTCCGCGTCATCCGACACCAGGGACTTGATATACTCGAGGATAGCGTCTTCGTTTCCGGTCCATAATTCCACTGACCTTTCCTCATCCTCAAAGATTTTCGGGATCCATACTTTGTCTGCCTTTCCAATTTTATCACTATCCGCTTTGATAACACAATACCATTCGTCAGAAAGAGCCAGCTGGCTATCAGGTACGTTTGCTATTTGAGTCGTTAACGCCGCATAATGAGTAGCGATTTATGATAAACATAAATCAACTTACTCATATAAAATCCGCGTCCCAATTGAGGAGACAATGAGTCATCATCGTATGCTTTATAGTCAAAAGGCTTATTGTTATCATTGATCCCCTCGGCTTCGTCCTATAATTCGCGTAATTAATATAAGCTTATAATATATAAATCAAGTGAAACTTACAGGAGAAACAATTCGATAACCGATAACCTCTTTTCCATAAGCTGTGTTGAAGAGGACGCTCGAGGCTAGCAAGATCGAGTAAAGGAGCATTTTGGAGATACCGAAAGGGCTTATGACTCTTTCGATCGTGCGAGCTGACGAAGAGGGATAAGCTTGCAAAGGGAGACAGATGAGAAGGTGACAGTAAAGAAGGTGATGGTAAGGAAGGTTGATGATGAGGAAGGTGATGATGGATTTAATCTGAAGTAGGTGCAAAATGGCATCTATATATCTCTTTTAAAATGTATCTCTCTAACCGAATTCATATATCACTAATATTAGGAACCGTATCTGAATCTCTACGCCGACTATAAATAATCGAGCGGCTAATATACCGGTCGGTACTCACGATTTTTGTAACGTAAACACGCTGCCAACTTGGCAATAGTCCACAACACGCGATGGGGGTGTTTTTGGGGTTGCTTTGACGTTTACACACTTGGTTTCAGGGCCTCCTTGCAAGTAATCGTACGACGGTACACCGGCTCTTGTCCCTTTGATCGTCTCCACAGCGTTTTGGTGGGGGTGAGAAGCACAATTGAAGCTCGGACGATTATTGTCGCTTATTAGCCTCGAAACTTGGTAGCCTGAGGCTTGAAGGAGCCTCGCAACTCAAGCAAACGTTGGGGAAACACTATCCATGCTCCGGCCGTGAAGTCCGTCCGCCAAAACGAAAATCTTGGAGACGCACGGTGCGCTGGAGTGACCTTTCATCTCCGTACAGTGCCGCAACCTATTTCGGGGCGGTTTTCGCCTTCACGGACAGACTTCATGACCGCACGAGGAAGGGATCTAATTTAGAGAAGAAACGCAGGTCTCTGCGTAGTAACGTCTCCCCTGTGTATATGCGGACTCTAGCGTAGAATCCTGGGTGGACTCTGCCAAGCTGTCAGCGTTTTTTAAAAAAAATCGGGAGTATATTTGTCTCTTTACTTACTACCCTAAGTATGAATAAAGGGCAGGCATCCCACGGGTGGCACGGATAGACCCTTGCTGCGTCTGACTCGTGCCACTCTCAGATCCTGCGCTTTAATCATGGGGGGATAGTATTCTTATATCGAAGATCAACCTAAATAGAAAATCAAATTTACGTTTACCTAGCCAATTATAGTTTTACAAGAGATGCTTAATCGTACAACGCGGCTCGCTATAGTATACGAGCTTGGCTTCTTCGTGCCGGTGGAGAAGCTCGAGTTCGAAAGGAGGAGGAGGAGGAGGAGAGTAGCAGAGGCTATAAGGGCTCGGAAGGGTATAACTCAAAAGCTAAGAGAGCGAGGAAGGAGGGCGAAGTCGGACGAGAATAAGAAATATGCATATAATTTAACTTGCGATCAATAAGGTAATCGTCGGTTACCATGAATTTAATTTGTAAAAAATCCCGACCTGCCTGCGCCAGGTCGGCACCACCAAGGCGGGACAGTAACGGTATACCACTTATTACATAACAACCATCGATATAAAAAAGAAAAAAAAAATTCTCTATATAATCAGAAAACTATGCTTTATAAACTTGAATTAAAAATATAAAAATGCATTCATTTTTGGTGATATAATACATTAAAATATAATGAAAATATAGTTAAAAACCGTCTTAAATAATTTTGATTTACTCGTTTGCCACGAATATCTCAATAACTACATCCTTAATTAAAAAAACAACGTCCTACACATCGAAAATGTATGATTTTATCTATTATATTACCAAAGGTATTAACTATTAAATAAAAGTTGGTCGTGATGCACGTATTCTTTTAATAGGTTTGAATAAGAGTCCGATTTTCCTGTTCCTCGCTTATTCTAGTATTTACGCGGTAATTCTGATATATACTCACCAGTAAAGTCGAAAAAAAAAAAACATCAAAAGTACCATTTTTACTACTTCAACTCAACACAATAAAGGAATAACAACTTGTAATTAAAATTTGGTTAATTTATTAATATCGAAATCAATACGGTGCATCTTTTTATGCAAGAATAACTACTATATAATTGTTGGCTGGTTTTCTATTCATTCAAAAAAAGCAAATTTTACTGTCCCACCTTGGTGGTGCCGACTTGCTACAGCAAGTCGGTCAATTCTTTCGAATTAAAATATAAGGAAACCGACGACTACTCATTTTTTATTATTCATTTTTATTATTCATTTTTTATCCTTCATTTTTTATCCTTCATTTTTCATCCTTCATTTTTTATCCTTCATTTTTTATTTCCGATCAATCAGTATGCGGCTCTTTGACACCATGCTTTTAATATAGTCTTGCCATACAAAATAATACTAGTCGCTAATCTGAGCCCGCAAGGCTCCCTGCCCCTCTTGTGCACAAGATTATGCTAGCCTTGACGTCCTAGATATATCTACTCCGTAAAGGTGTCCTCGACATATCAAAGCCCATAACTTATGATCGGCAACCTCGCAGTTCGAGTGTTACAGACACCTAAGTGTACCAATCGTCTATAGGAACTTGCTGTCCTGGACAGTGTACAAATCCACGTATTCGTCTATAGCCATGGCCTCCAACTTCTTCGCGTCATTGCCCAGATCAACTAACTGCTGGACCTTGGCCTCGCTAAAGTGCGGCCCGAGATGTCTCTTATACTTAGCCAGGATCTCTGGCTTGGCCTCCTCTCTTCTCAGTCTGTGTCCAAGCGGAGCGTCGACCACGATTTCCTCGAGAACAGTGCCATCGTTAAGTGTGACAGTCAATGCGTTAGGGATAGTACGCATATTCTCGTTGTGATAGTCCGCAGTGAATTGGGGATCCTCAACGCACTTGATCTTCTGGCGGAGAGACTCGACGAGAGGGGATGTAGCGGCCTCGCCCCCATCCGTGTAATCGGTGGCTTCGAGACGACCAAAAACGAGCATGACGGACGCCATGTATTGGATACAATGGTCGCGGTCGGCAAAGTTATCCATGGGCTTGAATTGCTTGTCTATTATGCGGACGCAAGCTTCGTGTGTGCGGCAGACGATACCCTTGATGTCCGCCGCGGACTTGCCTTGGTCCTTCAATTGCTTGTGGATGCGCTTGGCTGCTTCAATCGCAGTTTGGGAGTGAAATTCAGCTAGGAGGTGTTAGAAATATAAACAATATTCGACGAATGACTTACCTGGGTAGGAGACCTTGAACAAAACATTCTCCATAACGTAGCTACCGTACGGGCGCTGGAACTCAAACGCATTGCCCCTAAACAGTACATCATAGAAACCCCAAACGTCGGCAGACAGAACAGTCGGAACACCAGGCTCGCCCTTCATGACCTTCAAGACTAGGTTGACGGCACGCTGGCAAGCATCACCGGCAGCCCACGACTTTCTGGACATGGTGTTGGGCGAGTGTCTGTATGTCCGCAAGCTCTGGCCATCAACCCAGGCTTGGGAGACCGCATCAGCGGTCTGCTTCTCGGACAGACCCAGCATCTTGGAGACCACAGCAGCCGAGGCAACCTTGACAAGCACAACATGGTCCAAGCCGACCTTGTTGTACGAATTCAGCAGGGCCAGGCATCCCTGGATCTCATGGGCCTTGATCATAGCCTCTAAAACCTCCTTGACAGTTATGACCTTTCCATTGCCCAAGTTCCCGCCCGCTCTGTTCGTGCGCGAGATCCAGTCGGCCACAGCCAAAATGGCGCCCAAGTTGTCCGAGGGATGACCCCATTCTGCGGCCAGCCAGCAGTCATTGTAGTCCAACCATCTGATCATAGTCCCAATATTGAAAGCGCCATTGACGGGGTCGAGTTGGAAGGGTGTTCCGGGGACCTTTGTACCATTGGGGACCACAGTCCCCTCCACAATCGGGCCCAGGAGCTTGGTGCACTCCTTAAACCGCAGACCTTCGAGGCCACAGCCTAGGGTATCGAGAAAGACGAATCTTGCCGTGTCGAACTGTGCCCATGGTCAACGTAACTATGTTGGACGGGAGTGAGGGCAAGGCGGGGTAGCTCTTACAGCAAGGTCCGAATTAATGGGTGTATTGTGCACGTAGCTAGCAATGTCCTTGATCTCGGGATCGTATTCCCGAGCCTGAGATGGGGGAGGAGCCCCGGATTGTCTGGCTGCCATGACGGAGAATTGTCTGGCGGTTGGGGCGTGGGTTAATGCTGGCAGAGATGCTCTTGAAATAGCGAGGGGGGTACGCAGAGCGCGCGAGTGGAGTGCCGTGGGCCGCCGAAGAGATCTGGAAACTGTGCGAGCACCACGGTTGATCGCCGACATGTTCAATTGAGCGGAGGGGTATAAGAGAATTGAGGATCTCACTTTCGTGAGAAACAGGATCAGTACGAGTAGCTTCTTGTTGCTATTGTTGTACGGATGATTCCTTGCTATTGCTATTACTATTGCTGACGCCGACGCCGACTTTCGCTTAGTCAAGCGGACCTCGGCAAAGCCCGGCTCTCCTTTTTCTGAATCTGGATCCAGCCCTGCTCAGAGCAAATCAACACTTCAAATTTTTTGTAAGCCCCAAATAGTTGATTTCATTCACTTTAGATTCATCTCCGTCGACTGGAGCCCGGAATATAAGATTGAATTCATAATTCGGAAAGCATGAACTCTTATCAAAGCTTGTCCGGACTTCTAATGTTCTCGTCGTTTGAAGATTAAGACGAAGAAATATTCATATCTAAGGCTAGACCCCCATCATCCCGAACTGACATCAAATCTCGTGATTAGACCTCAGACCTAATCCTCACAACAAGATTGATAGAGCGACCTCTTCTTGACAAGGCTTTGAGTCCTGGTAACCAGAGGCAGTGGTGAAAGCCCGCCCTTAATTAATAGTCGGTGCGCTGCCTGTTTACCTGCGGGCTCTCGGTAACAATCAGGACAAGCAAGTGTGCCATTTCAATTTGTATGAGAAATAGCTTAGCAACGAATAGAGCTATAATATTGAAAACTAAATGCATAGATTGGCGTAGTCGAGATCTCTAACATTCATAGCAAGTGTGAAATCCTCTTATTGACAATTTTATAGCAAACAAACGAAATAGTATTTAACTTACGATTGAAAATGATTCAAATCAATTATTTTATATTGAAAATTTTGCATTTTTCAATACTAGTCGTATCTTGTGTTGAATTTTGTGGTGACAGATGGCGTATACCTAGATAGGTAAGTGGAGCAAAGATCAAGAGTCTTAAAGGTGGCGATAGAAGTGTCTGATCTGTTAAGAGCAAAGGAGCAACTGTAGATATATACCGTACCGGTACATGTGTGGCACGTGGGTTCGCCTGGTGACTAAGGAGCTTGGCAAGAATGTGAAGAGCACGTGAATAGCACGTGCAGGACCACACTGTACAACAAATTTCAATATAAAAAATTGATATTTGAAAAAACCTCATTAAAGTGGACTCGTGCATCTTGTTTTTATTACTACCGCTTTACAGTTGTTATTTTATTGGAGGCATGAATACGATCGACAATTTGACGTTCTTGAATTTTCGCTGAACTGTCCGAGCTTTTTTCGCTTTTACAATCGTACTTTTTGCGTGACAAGTATTGTTTAAATTATTTCAATAATAGAAGTGTATAATATTCTCTGTGATTCGAGTAGAACTCGCTTCCGCCAATTTGTTTATCCAGCTTTTATTGTTATGGCTTTTTTTCGTTGATGACTTATTCCTAGTACAAATCGCGATCTTCGATTGTTTTTGGTCGGCGGAATCGAGCTCTTTAGAAGGATTAAAGTTTCAATATTGTACTGTAGCTCTATCTGTCGCTAAGTTATTTCCAATACAAGTTGAAATGGGAAACTTGCTTGCTTGAACAGGCCGCTGTAGCACACTGACTATTACTTAATACTTATCTCTTCATGACTATCATACTTTTATGATTCCTGGGTACCCATGAGACGGAAGCGAGAGATGTCAAGCCTCAAGAAGCTCATTGTCCAAACCATCAAGCATTTCGGCTAAGCTTCTGCTCCAGAGACAATGCACGATAGCGAAACACCATCCATAATTTATTCAATCTGTTCAGATGGGATGGCGAGTCATGGATGGCTCTCAAATATCATCAAATCCCAATCAGCTGCAGGAGCTGCGCCACCAACCACGCTCTCCCGGTGTGCCGTGCCAGCGCGTGCACTGGATTATTGATCAGGCGCAGTAGCGAAACATCAAGGCTCTCCGTCAGAAGCTCTCTAAGACCTCGTCCGGTGCGTGGCTTTCTTTGAACATGAGGGAATTTTCTTTGAACCGAGCCCCTTTGTCGTGTGCGCTACTCCTTTGCTACCGTACCTTGAAGCTCAAGCTGTGCAGAAGCTTAATTGCTGACTCTCAAGCAGGCGAGGCGGTCAAGCAATACTCGGTACTTTGCGTGCTGCACAGTAATTCTTCTCCCTGTCAGCCCCAGTCTAGACGCAACTGCTGCAAGCCTGCTCGAGTCCCGCTCTGCCACAAGCCAAATCCAGCCTCAGGAGTCGGACTGCCCGAGTCTGTTTCAAAATTCCCAATCAGTCTTTATTCTGCTCTGCTCCGCTCTGCTCTACTCTGCTTTGTTTTGCTTAAGCATTTACTTAAGACTTCAACCACCCCCCCCGCAACACGCAACACGCAACACGACATTTCTGTTCAAAGTGCTTGACTTGATAACTATCAAGGGCTGACCCGTCTCTCGTTCACATCAATCATGTCGCCCTCCCGCACCTCATCTCCTGCCAAAGCCCACGAACAGATCAAGTCCGAGAACAGAATGGTTCAAAATTCACGTTTCGGCAAGCGCTTCTGGATCATCACCACTTGCGTCTCCCTCCTCATCATTGCTATCGCCCTCGGAGTCGGTCTTGGCGTCGGCCTCTCCAACAATGGAGGAGGAGGAGAAGGAGGAGGAGGAGGAGGAGGCTCATCGGATGACTCGCCGGAACCTCCTCAAGTCACCAACCCGAACGCAACGGAGGGGAGCTTCTGGCGCCCTGAAGCCGGCACCTCCTGGCAAATCGTACTACAGCCAAACATCACTGACCTCACACTCAATGTCTCCGTCTGGGACATCGATCTCTACACCACCAACGCGTCCGTGATCAAGCAGCTGCACGACAACGACTCCAAGGTCATTTGTTACTTCTCGGCCGGCAGCTACGAGGACTTCCGCCCGGACTCGAGCGACTTTGAGAAGAGCGATTACGGCAAGCCTCTGGATGGATGGCCAGGCGAGTGGTGGCTGAATGTCAGCTCCCCCAACGTCCGCAAGATCATGTCCGCGCGCTTGGACCTCGCCCAGCAGAAAGGCTGCGATGGCGTCGACCCTGACAACGTCGACGGCTACGATAACGATACCGGCTTGGACCTCACCAAGCAGCAGTCCGTGGACTACATGGAGTTTCTGGCAACCGAGGCCCACGGCCGCAACATGTCCATCGGTCTCAAGAACGCCGGCGGCATCGTCAATTCTACGCTGCTGATGATGCAGTGGCAGGTCAACGAGCAGTGCGTCGAGTACGACGAGTGCGATCTGTTCCAGCCGTTTATAGAGAACAACAAGCCCGTGTTCCACATCGAGTACCCCAAGTCGGCACCACGCATCTCTGCGTCGGACAACACTACGTTCTGTGACTCGAGCTCCGATGCGGGTTTCTCCACGCTGCTGAAGAATATGAATCTTGATGATTGGTATCAAGAGTGTTAATCGTTGGCTGGAAATTTGTGCGAAAAGACTTGTGTAATAGTGATTATTGAATGGGACTGGATACCAATATCTCTTGGCCGTTGCATTTCCTCGCTTCTCATAACCATCCCCCCTTTCCACCACCTGCGTGAACGCGATCTATTGAGCTCTAGCGCGCTGTCGAAACTGAAAAAATTTGCTCGGATATTATGATCTGCAATCTATTCTATAAATTTGACAGAACATCGCTGCTCAGTATCTGAATGCACGATAGTTGGACTTGAGGCATTGATATTAAGAGTTGACCTCACAGCTTTTGGTGCCCTTCTCTGAATTGGGCGAAATGAATATATCCCGCGACAATAATCTGTCCTGCGTCAATTGCTACCAAAATCAAGCGCAAACATGATAAAAATCAGGATTTAAATCAACGTGCACATCAACGAACATCGATGGTTGGCATACGACTCATCTTTTCGCCGTGGCGGTAGACAAACTACGAAGTATGCCGGAGAATAACTTCCAATCGACCCTCCTCGAACTTTTCTTTAGGGAAAAGATTAAATTGATCTCCAGGTATCTCTTGAATTTTGTGTACCATTACGCGCCAACACCACCCCAAATTCGTAGCAGAAGATCCATCCCCGAGCGCCAAAGATGCCATGCCATGCCATGCCTTTCCATGCCCACTCCGCAAATCGATTCTCAACCAAAGGAAACGCTTTTCTTCTTCTTCAACTTCAGCGGCTTCGTTCCCATAGCCGCCTCGCTCGATATGTTGCCCTTCTCGTCGCCAGACGACCTCTTTCTCTTCTTGCGCATGCCCTCCTTTGTCTCGTCCAGCTTCGCCTTGCGCATCTCCTGTCGTTTTTCCGACTCGGCCTTCCTCGCTTCGCGAATTTCCTCCATCTGCCTGGCCTTCATCATCTTGCTCTCGATCTGGCCGTCCTTGTCGGCATTGACCATTGCAAGAATTGTCATCATGCTCTCCTAAACCAGTATCAGAATCCGTTCATCGCAATTAAAATGCCGTAGCGTACCCGGTCATCCACGAAAACCTTGCCCTTCTTTTTGCCCTTAGGCTTCTCGACTCCGATGGGCGTAATCATATTCAGGGCCGGTACCCCCAGCTCCTTCTCAGTGTAGACTCTCCTCTTTTTTTTCAGCGTCGCCAGATTCCCGGCGCTCTTCTGTGGTTTCGGAGGCGGGCCTTTGCTCCTCGGTTTCTTGTTCTTCGAGACTCCGTCGCTCTGCGGCCTGGTACTAGATTTGCTGTTCTTAATCCCAGACTTGTTCGACGCATGCTTGGATTTCACTGTAGATGTCCGTGAGGGTGCCATTGTATGGTGGTGTTATGGGTGGGCACGCAATTGTCGGTTGGAAAGGAAATATTTGAGCATAGAGTATGTTTTTAAGCGGGGCAATCAATTATTCAACCTAAGCCTCGATCTTTTTTTTTTTTGCTGCGACTCACCGCGCTCGCAACCACCCCGCATAAGACTTTCAGGCTCTGCATTCAACCTTCACGACAACCCTCAACCATGGATTTGAAACCCGAGCAACGGATGCGCGCGGCGGCTCTGGCACGCGACACAAACGAGACGAAGATTGTGCTGGCCATAAACTTGGATGGAGGAGAATTCCCTGCCGATACGGACAGCAGGTTGATCGATTCATTGAACGGAGTGGATGGACATGGACACGAACACACCCACGCCACTCAAGCTTCGAAGAGCCAGACGATTGCCATCAACTCTGGAATTGGCTTCTTAGATCATATGCTCCACGCATTGGCGAAGCATGCGGGCTGGAGTCTGGCGCTCAATTGCAAGGGGGATCTTCACAGTATGGCTCGACTCCCCTTCACGGCTTGCTAGCCACCACCTACCCTGCCCATGACTCCTTGCTCACACTGCTCAAAGTCGACGATCACCACACGGCCGAGGATGTCTGCCTAGCGCTGGGGACTGCCTTTAAAGACGCTCTTGGAGCTCCTGTCGGCCTGGCACGTTTTGGCTCAGCCTATGCGCCCCTCGATGAAGCGTTGTCGCGCGCAGTTGTGGACCTCTCAAATAGACCCTTCAGCGTCATTGAGCTTGGGCTGAAGAGAGAGAAGATTGGAGACCTGAGCTGCGAGATGATCCCGCACTGCATGGAGAGCTTCGCCCAGAATGCAAGGATCACGATGCATGTCGACTGCATCCGGGGATTCAATGACCATCACCGGGCGGAGAGTGCCTTCAAGGCGTTGGCTGTGGCAATCCGACAGGCCACGAGTAGGGTGGCTGGGCGGGAGGGAGAAGTTCCTAGCACGAAGGGGACGCTGACGACGTGAAATACAAAAGAGCGTGTAAGAATACGACCTCGAACTAAATCAAGGCGTGAGTTATTTATGTTACGCTGCGGTTCTTGGTTGAGATGAAGCGTGATGATCGGATCAAGTCAAAAAACAGCATCAAAAATGGGTCATTGCGGCAGCGTGGGTGGATGACGAGTGCAGTTATCGCGATAGTGTGAACGGCAGGGAGAGGAGGAGAAGAGGGACGAAAGGCGAAGGCGAAGGTGAGGTACGGACTACAGTGTGTATCTTGAAACACTTATATCTATATATATATCTATATATATATGTATACGAAGTACATACTCCGTACCTGGGAAGATAGCTTGGAGGGGGAGCTAGTGGGTATTCCGGGTATTGCAATGCATCGAATTGCAATGCATTGAATTGCAATGCACTGCACTGCACTCACCAAACCCAGTGCCGAAATCTGCAGCTAGATAGTCGACACGGTATTTGAGTATTCAAGGCAAATACGTGCTGTCTTGCACGAGATGTGTTTTCCATTTAATCCCATTTTATCCCATTTAATTCCGTGGCTCTTTGGACAGCACGCCCACGGCCCTTTCCTTCTGGCTTCTACCATGCAAACCAGCCAATTCTATACGTACCCCTGTAATGCAGCGGAGCGGTGAAGCTCGATCCTAGCTTGCTCGCTTAAAAATAATCAGTTATCCGTGATACTACTTCTCCCCCTCCCCCCTCTCCCTCTCTCTTTTTTTCCCCAAATTTCCACATACACAAGACAACGGAGTCCAACATACAAACACATCCACCTCCAAAACACTATACTCTTCGTCGAAATCATGCCTCAGGCTATCGCTGAGCTGTGAATGCCCACTGCGGACGTGCGAACCCAGCACGTCCGTAGTCCTTCAGCCAACGAGACTTTCAATCCTCATCGACCTCGACGAAGTACCCAGACTCTCACGGTCTTCGCCTGCAGTACCCTGCGACGACAAATTAGGGAGTCTATCGCCGACACAACCAGATAAAGATCAATTGGTGCTCCTGTCTTCAGGGGTGGATCTCAGTTCGCGAGCGAGTGACCGACCGCCTTCACCACTCGCTATAACCTCAAAAACACTTTCCGACCTTCGGTCCCATATGCACAGCCGCGAGAAGTGCAGGAAATATACACGCTATCCTTTCCTTCTCCCGGCGCCGATTTTTGTTACTGAAAATCGAAACATTTTGTCCCTACACCGCCGAACACTTTAATAACAACATCGACCTGCACCATACCGCTTCAGACAGTTAAGATGTCTCAAAACATGCACCGTCGATTGACTCCTCCGCCTACAGTGAATACACAACCAAGTACTCCACAGACATCACAAAATTCTGACTATGACGACGATTACGGCGGGGTGGACGACATATCGAGTGGCGAAGAGGACGGGGACGAGCCAAATGTTGAGGGGGCTGAGGAGCGGGCAATAATTTCGTCTGAAGACGTCCCCGCTCCTTCTCAGCCGCTCTTGATAGAAGAAACATTCCAGGAAGAGTATGACTTGAGCCGAGCAGACTTGGAAGCCTTCGACTTGTTCGAGGAACAAATACTTAACGAGTCTGATGACAAGGCTGTTGAAGCCCGGAAACATGTCCCGAAACATGTTCACTGGGAGTCCCTACATGGTAGCGAGTCAGAGTCCAATGGCTCTGATAATGATGCCGATTGGTGCACCGATCTTTTCATGGAGAAAGATGAACTGAACTATCAATTTCGCCAACTCATTGATAAGGATGATGACAAAGGACAATTCTCCGACGATGGCTTCTACTACGGTGATGCAGCAACCGACGAAGAAGCTGACTTCGATGAATCTGGTGACGACAGTGAATTGAGTGGTTACGACTGTAGGTGGCCATCACCGCCAGCCTTGTCAATGCTAACATTTACCAGCCGATGAATCAGGGTTGACTACTGACGAGGAAGATGTGCCTGTCACCTGTATTTCTCCTCATCGTTCAATTATACGCGCTACTTCAGAAGCCTCAACCTCATCCGAGGAGGTCATTCGCCCTACAGTTCGTCACGACCCCATTCTCGGAACCTGGAATCATAAAAGCACCACCCCTTACGCTATCTACGACAAGGAAAATAATAAAGTTAGAGTCTTTAATCTGGAAAACTTCAGACGACGGATGAACATGGAATCCGCCTCCAGGTCTCTTATGGCAACTCCGATGAATACTCCTCAGCAAGGCTTCTCTTCCCTTCAAGCATCTCCGATAGTCAGTAATTCTGGGGATATCATGCTGAGCGGGATAAATTCGGATTTCTTCGACAGCGGCTTCTTGGGTTCTACCGAACAACGCGAGGATTACAACGTCGAGGATGCGTTCAGAGAGTATACAAACCTCGACAGCTCTTCCCCTCCCACCGACACTGATGAATCGGATGATGAAAATCTGTGGTCTCTCGAAGATCTGTTCGATTTTGGCAACGATACCTCCGATGAAGAGCGAGCTGCTGGATTATCTGACAAATGCCCAACCGACCCTCCATCTTCAACACCTGCTCGTGCCACGACAACCATAAGCGAAGACCAATTGCATCCCAAGCTTGATCCCCTGCTTCGTCATTTCAGTCGTGGAAATGTCGGATCGTTCCGTGCCTACCAAAATGAGCAGAGCCTTCTCAATCGAGGATTGGCTACGGAAGAAAGCCTCGAATTTGGGACTGCGGCCACTATCCGAGGTGTCAAGGCGGGGCGTCTTCATCATGCCAATACACCGATCACCCCCATTCGTAAGAAGAAGAGGCCTGTTGCGTTGGAATCGAGTCCAGCGAGTCCATCTCCGTACGCACCCATGGCGAAGAAGCGCAAGCTTAACTATGAGGAGAGACCTACAAGTCTCAAGAGAAATCGTGAGTCGTGATTGAGAAGATAAAACGCTGAGGACGGCATGCCTGAAAGGGCATCCCTGGCCTCCTGCTTGCTCGTTTTCCTTTTGCTTTGCTTTATTTTCGGAAAACCAAAGAAAAGTTTCGCCCTGAATTCAATTTTTGTTCATTCGTTTGTTTGATTGATCCTGTATCCAGTTGCGGCTACTTCGTGTCTTGGATGTTCGATGTCTCTGGATGGATGGGCTGGTAGGCACTTCGTCTGGATCGAACGATTTTGGCGTTTGAGCTCGAGCTTGCATCATAGGGCAGAAGTCAGACGCAAGAAAAGTTGGTGATATTGCGTTTGTTGAGTCAGGAAGTAGCGTGCGTATGCTGCGATATGATTTGCGATACGATCTGCTCTCTCTGCATGCTGGCTGGTCGGTCGAGGTTGGATGGTCGGGTTCATGGTACGGCGTTCGGGACATACGATCACAGGCTTGCCTGTAGGTAGTAGTTAGAACCACGGCCGCGCCTTTATTGCTCACCATACCAACGACGATACCAACGATGGAAAAAAATTCATACTCAATACTCAACCTTTTCCTGCTTATTAGTGACGCCCTCGTGCGAAGTGATTTCCATGCCTTTGGTAACTTCGGAGGAATAACCCCCGGTGGAAAAGCCGCCTTAATCGGCAGAGTTCTGCCTCGACACGGTCCACGGACCACGACAAACAAGCTTTGTCGATCTATAGTTGCCAAGCGAGCTTCTTTGTTAGATGCCCTGAAGCCAGGCGATCGTCGTCCGTAGATACTACCTCACGATTTATTCACCATATATACATAACAAGACGATAGATACGAGGTATTGAAAAATACAATCCAAATTTGTCAAACGACTAGGGATCGGTTGGCGTCGTTGCACATGGTCTTGGCGCTATTGCAGATAGATCTCTGAAATGCGGCTAGATTAGTATAAGGAATGGAGGAAACCGTTCAACAAGTTATAAGAACTCCGCTCACGCCTTTTATTATTATTTTTAAACGATTGAAATGTCTTGCGATCACTGCCCCTTTCTCGAGGTCGATTTACTCGATAACGAAACAAATAATTTCGATTCGTGGACGACACAAGCAATGAAAGATAAGCACGCCGAGGCTGCCGATATGCTAACGCATTATATCAGTCAATCAGTCAAAAGCAAACTATCGGCAGCTGATTTTGACCATATGAATTTGATGTTTACGTCCTTTTGGACGATTTTCGAACCGATGCCGACACAAAACTTTTATTCGGCTTATCGAAAGCTTTTCACTCTTCGAAACAGCGAATATACAATCGAAGAATCCCTTACTCGCATCAAGCTATAGAACGAAAAGATCGAAAGCGCGGAAATCGATGTGATGTTCGATACTCGAATACTTTTAATCTTGATGCATAGGCTCGGCGGCAACGATTCGTTCAAAGGATTGATATAAATTTAATCGATAAAAGCCGATTTAACATCAGCGAAAGCAATATCAATGCTTCGAGCGGAAGTGCTGCGAAAGCAAGACCTATCGAAGCAAGAGAGGTACGTAGTATGATTCTTAAGTCGGAAACGGCTGTTAATTAAGGATTTCAAAGCATCGAAAAGCATTCGGCCGCATGCACGAAGGAACGAATCGGCTTGGAAGTGAGATACGCGCGACCGATCTCATTTCGGCGATTGTTTGAATTTAATGACTTAATAGTGGGACTTGACGTCGCAGCTTTAGGGGCCTGACGTCGCCGATGGGACTTGTCGTCGCAACTTTAGGGGCCCCTGAAGTTGCGACGTCAAGTCCCATTATTCGGATCGGCGGAATTCACGAAAATCGGAAAAGTTCAAAGATAAGCGCTAACAGCTATTCGAAGATTTACGCTAGCTTTCGGTATCGGAGACGACGTCGTTAATTATGATTATTATATCGATGAAATCGGTCGCTTTCGTCAAATGGAAGTTGCTATGTCGGTTATATCGGGTCGACATTTAAAAGGAAGTATGAAAAACACCCCAAAGTTTAAATGTCGGACCCAATTTAGCCCCATAAATCGTAGAGCGGTGGTTTCTGAATGGCTTCAGGCCCTGTCAACTCAATTGCATAGACTAAATACTAAGTAGCTTAAAGATACTTTTCAAGGCTGGATTCTTATACTACGTAAGTTGATTGGTTTAAGCCCTGATAAGATTCCTTGCAGAATTTTACCTTCGACATGTATTCTTGGAGGGGGGGAGAGTACCTCAAAGGCAGGTAAGGGGTTATTTGAGCGATTTTCTGACCTCCTTTTTTAGGTAGAAGACGGTAACTAGACCGTTTAAAATCAGTGCTAGATTACAAATCAGGAATAGTTCGGTTTTTTAATCGTCCCCGAGCTAAAGACCGCCCTATGGCCATCTTATAGCCGTCTTCGTCTAGATTTTTTAAATAAGCTTCTAAATAAGCTCGTCTTGAAATTTTAAAATAGTTCGGTAGCTACGTAGTACTACGTACTACGTCCCAGGCGTAAGTATAACCCCTCGAGGGTAGGATAACCAGGGGTTTTAAAGTGGAAACTAGACTTTTGAGGCACCCTCGAGGGGTAATACTTAGGCCTGTACCGTGGTACTACGTATATCGCCTGCTGAAAGTTGGAAGGGGGTAAGTAGGAGGAAAGGGGAGCTGAAAAGGATATCTTACTTCTTGTTTGCTTACTAATTCAAGTCCGTCGAGACGGTTTAAAATTCGGGGACGGCCTTAGGACGGCTACCGGTACGAGACGGTCCTAAAATGGTCCCAAAACGCTCCGGGACGGTCTTTACGCAAAAAGACCGACTTTTATAAGCGACGATCCAATCGATCAAAAAGGTCTTATCTTAACAGTAACCTTCTAACGAAAAGACGATTTAATCGATCAAAATGAATTTATTCTAGCTACGATTTAAATAATTTAAATCGTTCGTTCTTACTACGTAAATTCTGTTCAATCTTGAGTATCGGCCTAAGGTGATCCACCAGCTCTGCCAATCTACTAGTACTACGTATTAAGATCTTCTTTAAAAGAGATGCATATCGGACGATCAGCTAGGTAACCGTCTACTCTCCCATGAATAAATGTCGGACCCAGTTTAGGCCCATAAATCATAGAGCGGTGGTTTCTTAATGGCTCAAAGCCCTGTCAACTCCACTGTATAGACTAAATACTGGCTCAAAGATACTTTTCAAAGCTGAATCCTTATAAATTGATTGGTTTAAGCCCTGGTAAGGTTCCTTGCGAAATTATACTTTCGATATTTATTCATGGGGGATGGGGAGAGTAAAAGCTCCTGCATTGCTCTTTAAGGTACTACTAGTAGTATCTTTAAAGTGCACTCCGCTACAGTAAAGGGGAAGGTCGAACGACTAGGGTCGGTTAGCGTCTTTGCACTTGGTCTTGGCGCTATTCCAGGAACGGTAAAACTTGGAAATGTCGTAGCTAGATTAGAAAAAGTAATCGAGGAAAACGTTCAATAGATTGATTTAATTAAATTGATCAATTTCCGCCAATCGTCTTGCTCGTCGGACCCTGAAACCGGGTAAACAGAGTCAGTCACGACTCGATTCACAGGAAATTCCCAAGCAACTCCTGGCAGACTGGATGAAGCTAAATTAAGGCTTTCTGTCGCTCGTGTTTCGGCGTTGGTCGTCCGCTTTAGTAGGTACTATCGGCGAAAATCACTCCTGGTCAATTAGTATGCTATGTATATAAGTATCAGCTATGAAATATTCTGACAGTCCATGCCATGTAAAGCCTCTCCTTCCCTCATTTTGACACCTGAGACCAATTAGTCGTTGATAGCCAGCCAAATTGTCGCTTCTGTCCTGTCCGTACTTTCTGCCCGTCATGCGTTCCATTTCCACACTCGTCGTCGCCCTTGCGAGCGTATACGTCGCTGGTGCCGCACAGAACGAACTCCAGGAAGTCACGAACTTCACTGCTGGACCTACCGGCGCCAAGATGTACATATACGTCCCGACGACCAAGCCTTGCCTCGCTCCGATCGTGGTCGGGATTCACTATTGTAGCGGCACGGCAGCACAGTATTTCACCAACACCCAATACGCCAACCTCGCCGACGATAAAGGCTTCATCGTCATCTACCCAGAGGCTCCCTCGTCCGGACGTTGCTGGGATGTCGCCTCGACGGCGTCGTTGACTAACGGCCAAGGAGGAGACAGTCAGACCATCGTCAACATGGTTGACTATGCTGTGAAGAACTACGGCGGCGATCCAGACCGGGTCTTTGTCACCGGGACCAGCTCTGGGGCTATGATGACCAATGTGCTTGCGGGTGCCTATCCTAACATCTTCAAAGCTGCTTCCGCATACTCGGGCGTTCCGGATGGATGTTTCGCCGTGGCGGGAGCTGCTGCTGGGAGCGACACGCCAGGTTGGAACAGGTCAGTATCTCTCCTATATCTTGGAAGAAGGGAAGAGAAAAGGGAAAAGAAACAGAAAAAACCAACAAGCAAGGTTCTTGAGATGAACGTAGCACAGTGATGCTAATGTTGCCGAAAAGTGAATGCTCTTCCGGAAAGTCGATCAAATCCGCCCAGGACTGGGGAGATCTCGCGAGAAGCTACTATCCTGGGTACACTGGTCCCAGGCCAAAGATGATGATGTAAGTCAGCTTGGCTCGAGGAGAATGGCGAGTTGGCGGACTGACGGCGACGGCATGAACAGTTGGCACGGGGATCAAGACACCATCCTCGCATACCCCAACCTGGCCGAGACTTTGAAGCAATGGTCGAACGTGCTGGATGTCGCGTTTACGAAAAACACGACGGATACGCCCGAGTCTGGGTATACGGAAATGATGTAGTATGTGATGTGCATGCATATCCTTCATCCCCGATACTTGCGGAATCCGAGACTAACTCTGAAAAAGTGGCGATGGGACGAAGCTGCTCGGCTACTCTGCTAAAGGGGTTGGCCATACGGTTCCTGTCCATGCGACTGTTGACCTCGCTTGGTTTGGCATTGAATAGCGTAAGTAACTATTTGCAAGAAGGAGGAGAAAGCCAAGATGGAAGATGTGACGCAAGCGTTGCAAAGCGTTGGATGAGTGATATGTATGTATGTTCATCTGTATATATGTAACATAATATTGAATTAGTGACATGTCCAAACAGATGTCAAGGCAATCTTTCCATCCCACGACAGTTCGTCGGTAGACACGTGATTTGAGGGAACCGAACCGAGGTGGGCGTTGAAACTTCAAACCACTCACTTACTTACCTACTCATTAGAAGACAGAGTTGACCGAGGCCTCAACTGCGACTCTCCTCCTGTCACCTACTCACTCAAAGAGTCTCGACATCCAGAATCCAGTACTCAACGTCAAATATCCAATACTTAGATACAAGAAAAGGAGCTTATGGACTTTGTCGACGTCTAAACTTGCTTTCCATCCCTTGCTTCTCGCCTGCGTCTTCCATTCGATATCAAAAGGTCTCAGTCTCACATTACCAACGTGACAATGTCCTCTAAGGAACCAGAACCAGAATCAGACGACGCGAAGGTAGGGCTTTGTTACTAGCAATCTGTCTTTTCCAAGCCTTTTGTTTTGTTTTTATATACCATCTGCCGTCAACCTTCGACTATCGGCGTAACCTTCACTATCGTCCATCCTACCTTAGCCGTTGTTCTTCTTGTTGTTATTTTTGTTGTCTTTATTATTGCAATGACCATGTTGCACCGTCGAACAGAGACGGTTGTCGCCGCTGATGATTTTCCGCGGCATATCTACACCAAGAGACTGATATATAGATGCCAGTCCGTCACTCCCTCATATCCATCTCCATCCTTAGCCACTCCGCCTCCACCTCCGCCAATACATTCCTACGTCTCTCTCCGAACCATTGTACTTCTTGCGCTGCCTCTTCTGTCTCTGCTTGGTGGCTATGGAACCTGGGCATTAGCATCCTCGAACGGCACATTCGAAAATATCTTCGCCTTGATTGCCTCCAAGGATCCGAAGTTTCCTGGCACGGATGATCCGTTGGTAGATACCTACACGACAATCCCGTGGCTGGACAGGCAGTTGACGATCCTGGTGACCTTCTTCGCCCCGGTCGTGTACCGGGAAACCGGAGCCCTCACGTTGTTATCACGCTATGGCATTGGCCAATTTGGAGGAGCCTGGACTTTGATAGTCATGGAGGGCATGCGTGCGGGCAATCGCTGGAGGGCCGTGAGTTTGTAGGTACTTACAGCTGAATAACCGATAGTCACTGACTTACTTGGTGAAGTGTCGCCACGATGGGACTTATCTTCCAGAACATATCATACACAGTCACTGTTCCGATATGGCTCTTCTTGCATCTCCTAACATCACCAGTCGCCCGGCCTTTCCCAAGCAATAGCATACACGCCAACAGTGGCCTACTTATCGATCCGTGGGACCTTGTTATCCTACCATACTCGGTGGCCATCAGCTTCCTCCTCCCATCAATCCTCATGGCGCTGCACCATCCCAGCGTGGTATCGACACGCACACACCAGCAACTCATTGCTTTCTGGCAGCCGTTCCCCCTCTGGACAGTGATAGCACACTTCTTCCTCCGCGGCACTGCACGCTGGCTGTCCGGCATCTTCCACAGCACCCGCACCAAGCAGGACACCTCGCGGCCCACCGAGGCGCCTGGAGCATCGTATCTGAGCAACGCAAAGCACGTCTACCGATTCGTGCTGTTCCTCTGCATCAGCACTCACGTGCCAACGTTCGTGCTCGCACTCCTCCCAGCCGGCGCGGTTCCGGCCTCGATGCCCAGCCTCGCGGCCCTGGCATCACACTCCTTCGCCTCGGTCTACGTCCCCTATTTCCCCGTCCCCTCTTACCGGGTATCCTCCCTGGCTGAAGGCGTGCACACTTTCCTCGCCTGGGACCTGCACATCGGCTCCACGGCGCTGCTGTGCTGGGCAATCCTGCTCCACAGGAACGCGACGACGGAGAGGGCCAACGAGGACCCAAACGTCAGTCTGCCGATCTACAGGGACTTGCTGCTGGGCGAGAGGATCGAGGACGGGCTGGCCTGGAGGAAGTTGATCGGGAAGGTGACCGTCTGGACCCTGCTGGGGGGACCCATTGCCGCCGTGGCCGTGCTCTTGTGGGAGAGGGATGCGATTGTGAGGCGGAAGATCAAGCAGGGGGTATGATGGTCGTTTGCACCGGGGAGGCCTCGTATCTCAAGTAATGATTTGTCCATCTATCTGTGTGTTTCCGAGCAGATTAGAGAGCGGGTTTGTTGCCCGTCCGTATTAGGGCGGCATAGAGAAATGAGTAAGAAGAATCTACTCGCAATTCAGATTCCGGCACGGCGTGGAGGCTTAGATGTAGGGGTAAAGTAAAGTATTCATTCATTCATTCATCCACTCATTCATTCCGTTGCGTGAATTTCCTAGACGTGAGTGGGAGACGACCCCAGCAACAGATTTTGAACCATCGGAGACGACACTTCCGCTGCGAAAATGCACATCGACCAGGTGACGGAACGAAGGAGCCAGTGACGAGAAGGAAGGAGGAAGGATAATGGCCAACGAGAGGTGCCCCGAACGAGACAAGAAAGGTACCAAAAAGGAGCACTAGTCGAAAGGTATTCGGCGCTCGTTCAATTCGGGCTACAGATGAATGCATGCTATTTTGACCAGCCACGAAAGACCAGCTCAGCCAACTCCAAGAAATGCCGCCCTTGTCATATCGTAGCATCATTACCCTTGCGTCTATAGAAAAATCCATCCCAAAGCTGCTATTTAGGCATCATCTCCCGCCACAAGAACAGGTCTGCACTAATTGGTGACCACCAAGATGGCCCACCTCAAACCTCAACCGCGCTCTTCTTCTTCCTCCCAAACCCGAGGCCCTTTCGCGTTCCGCTCCGGGCCATTCCACTGTTGGCGCCATCAAAGCCAGTGAGCGCCTTCTCCTTCTGCTTCTCCCGCTCTCTCTCATCCGCATAGCCCTTCCGTCTCTCCGCACGCCCCTTCTCAATAGTATCCTGACTCAGATGACCAAAGCCGTTTCTCCTCTTATAGCAGGCTTCCATCAACCCATTGCAATCAATCAACTTCCTCGGAATAGTTTGGACGACCTGAAAGATCTCCATTGGGTCGGAAACGGCTTTTATCTCCGCCTCGCCAAGCTTGAAAACAGTAAGAGCAATGCGGAAGAGAGTCTTGCTGCCTTCGCAGAAGAACGAATCCCACACTCTGAGAGTGGACTCGATGGGAAGGGTGCCAATGAAGCAGGACATGAACCAGGCCGTGGTACATAGGGTGATAGGGGGAAGTCGGAGAGTTGAGGGCGGCAGAGAGGAGCCATCAAGTTCGCCGCCAATTTTGGCCCAAATCTGAGGCATCATGTCTTTGATACTGGTCATTAGGACACCGAGATCGACATTCGCTCCCTCAAGATTCAGTTCGTGGGTTCCGGGAAGGTAAACACCCGTGATGATATTGAGCATCCAGAATGCCTTCTCCTCTTCCATGAAAAGTAGCAAGAGACCAGCGAGGAAATTCAGCGACTGGCAATACCCAATGCGAGGGTTGTAGATGGAGAACGCTTGTAAGACCCGGCGCAGGGCTTGTAGGATTGGCGTCTCGGGCTCGACTTGCTGGCTGTTACGAACTTCACCTGGCGACAGAGGTGGTGGGTCAGGTTTGAATCTGATATTGTCGGGAAATGTACGATTGAGATCCCGCTCGATGATTTCCGCATCAGTCTCGGTGACTTCCCCTGCCGCAGCTCGCTTGACAAGGTCTTTATACACGCCATAGTTCTTCGCTACCATCGCCGGACCACCAGCATACCAAAACCACGCATCGCCTCTCCAATCCGGAGGGATGCCTTTCCGGATGAACCGTTTCACTTTGGCGGACTTGGCCGGGAATCGAATAGGTCGATCGGTAACAAGGCTGTTGTCTTTCAGAAGTGCAATCCATTTTTTCCGCCGCCGCGCTAGATACTCGGTGTATGGACCGTTCCAAGCCTCGTACTGCTCCAACGATATGTGTTGTGTCTTCTTTCGAAATCCGTACCGGTCCCTCGTCTCATCAAATACAGCTTCTCCGGTCACTGATCGCGTGGGACTCGAGGGTGGCTGATCCGCGAAATAACCCTCCTGGATCTCCAACCTTCCACTCGCGGTAGACTCATCCTCGCTCGGCCTTCCAACCACGTTAAATATCTGATGCGAGTCCCGTACTATCATGGCATTGTCCGGTGCCATGAGCGAGCCGTTCAACGCGGGCGGGTACGGAGCCCGAAGTACTTCACTCGGTGCCAGAGTTTCTCTCGCCACCATTGGATCATGCATAGCCTCGTGAAGCCCTGATATCCTCTTCTGCTGTGAATCTGCCGTCTCCGGTCTCAGCCCATCGCCATCCTCCACTCCCGAGTCGAAGCCGCTCTCGTACATCCCGATTGCATCGTCCACGCTCATGCCTTCATCTCGCCCAAATATCGAAGTTGCCGAACTGCTTTTTGTCATTACGCTGCTTCTCTCGGTGCCACTTGTTCCCATAAAGCTCGAGTTCGTGGTCAAAGCGGAGCGGAAGCTGGCTCGGACCTCTTCGTCATCGAAACCGGTCGGTCGAGGAAGAGGGTCTCGCCGATGAGCCGAGTAGTTGCTATCTGGCCGATTCACTGCTTCTGGTAGATTTGCTGCCTGCCGCGGTCGATATTGTGCGCTATGAAGGTTACGCTGGCGGGAGTAAATCGAATCTGGTGCGTGGTAGTCGGGTATTGACGCTGAGGGTCGTAGTTGGTACGCCGGAAAATTGTTGGGTGACTGGGAGGAAGAGGTAGAGAAGCCTCTATCTCGAGGTGAGCCCCGCTCAGCCGGGGCTGGTTGCTCGTCGTGGGCTGGCAATGGAAAGGATGCCGAAGGTTGCAATAGAGGCTTGGGGGAGTGGTTCCTGCGCCGTACGCTCGGCTGCCGAGGGCGGGAGAAGTTGTCCGTCACATGGAATTCCTGGCGGTCGGAAGTCTGGCGGTCATCGCTCGAATACGTTCTGTAGCCATTGTTCAATGCGCGAAGCCTGGAGGCCTCAGATGGCTTTTTGTGCAGACTTTGGGGAATCGGCGGCGGCGCGGTGAAAGACCGGGAAGTGTAGGGGCGTTGGGCGTGGTCTTCTCTTGACACGAGAGGAGGCCATTGAGCTGTTGAAGAGGAGGGGGGAGAGGGAGGGGAGGAAGGGGTCGAGGTCGAGATCGAGGTCGCCGTCGAGGTCGAGGTCGGGGTCGAGGTCGAGTCCTTGGGTGCTGTGCGAGGCCGGGAAGGATACAGACTCAGCTTCATGCTCCGCTGCCTCTTGACGTGCTGGCTGTCAAAGTCGGGCCCTTTGTATACCGCCCCAGCTCCATGGCCATAATATGTATTCGCCATGACCAATACTGACTCCCTCCAATTCGACCCGACTCAACTCCTCGACGACTCAGCCCAGGCTAGGCCAGTCCAGCATGCACTGCGCAGCTCGATGTAGGGTGATGATATAGATGTGTATGTATATAAGTGTGTAAATGTTTTTTCTAAATCTCCTGGACGCGATGTAAGTTTTTTTTTTTTCTTTTTTCGACCGTTCTCGTCCGGGGCTCGAAATGGTGGGTATTGTTGGTGAACGGTTGTCGATCTGGGCACATTGGGTGCTTGCAGACGATGTTCAGTCGGAGTCGGAGTCTGAGACCGAAATGTCTCGGACGCTTTGTGTTTGTGATTTCGTGGTGCTCGTGCAGTGCAGTACGGTAAGGTCCGAGTCCGAGACTGAGCCTGAGCCTGAGCCTGTGAGCCGGAGAATCTGGGCAGCCATTCTTCTCACCGCCTTCCCCCCGGCAGAAAAAGTCAAGAAAATTGGAATCTGGAATTGTGCATTTGCGGAATTCTGAACGGGATATCGCAGATGGACTGACTGTACTGGTATTGTAGATAGGAACAAAAAGAATGATAGCACGATCAGAGCATATTTTTCAACCTGTTGATTAAGTAGCTCGAAGGTATCCCCAGGAGACCATAACCCACGGTGGTATTCAGACGGCGCTCTTGCCTGAACCAGAGAGAGGCGGATCGCCAAGATACAAGATATTAATACCTGGATCACGACGCCATGCAAAAGGATTGTAATTTCAAAACATATAACAGCAGGCATTCTCAGTCTATGGTCGTTATGTCTCATGTGCTTCTGCATATGCCTATACAAAGCTCCAAATAATGTAAGCTCCAAACAATATATAGCGGCAAAGTCAGCTAACTAACTGACTACCGACGGATAACAGCAAACCACTTTTCGTATTTAGTTAAGGTAAAGAATTCAAGTGCTTTTATGCAAGCTTAATTGAAACGACGCTCGCGCTTACGTGAAATGTCATTTGAGCGCTTAAAACTTTAGTATAGTACCTCTTTGGATGATGGGCTTGCAGGTGTATAGTCAAATAAGCCAATCGCTATACCCGTAATACGAACTTCGTTATACTACCTATAAGACAGCATATAATCGAACATAAGCTTATTTCCGGCCACGCTTTTTTCAGGGCTCCATCAAATCACCGTTTGTGGATATAGGGTGAGACATTGACATCACCTCGTGACCCATAAGCCATACAGTAGCTTCTCCCGCCTGCCTGGGTTGACGCCGCGTCGCCGAACACTGCAATCGGAAGAGCCACAACTTTGGGAATATCCTTTCCTTTGATCAATTGACTAGAAGGCACCACCAAACATATTCCTCTCGCAACCACGATATCTTCTTCAACACTGTATCCGTCGATCGGAAGTCCTCGCAGCACCTCCTATACCTGTTCTGTTTACAAGCAGCCAGCCAGCCAGCCAGCCAGCCATCCAAGCAGGGGTGTGTCCTTGTTTCCACTACGAGGTAGTCGAGCCTAGTTGTACTATGGCTTTACAATACTCCTTTTCCCAAAGGAGCCTTGTGTTCTTATTGATATCCTTACACATACAACACTCGAAGCGTACTTTACACTTGTCGGAAGGAATTCATCTAGATCCTACTGCCGGAACGTTCATCACCTCGGGATATACTAGCATCAATACGAGCAAGCAATCACACCACCTCTGAATTTTCAGCCGCGATTAGACTCGCACGAGAAAGGAAGGCAGAGGAAACAAGAAAGGCACCAACGAAGTCGGGAGACATGGAAACACAACAGCGTATACGAGCTGAACGAGCTGAACGAGCTGAACGTAAGCGAATGCGCGCCAGGGGCTTCATAGAGCATAGAACGCGAATCAGGAGATGCTAGGTCCTAGGCAGTCCAACAGCCAAACACAGCGTTTGAAAAACGCTATCAAGTAGTGATCAATTCTTGATCGAGTGTATACAACCGTTTCTTATACTACTGTTTTATAGCAATAGCGATGGAGGCCAATGCTATGTATATGTAGCCCTGGAGTCCGCGCGGGTAAAAATCGACTCTTACGATTGCTCCCTCTTTAAATCAGATTAGAGTTTCCACTTGAGTCCGCGGAGCTCGAAATTTGCCCATTTCTTGGACTTGCATGTTAGAGGTTGGGATAATGCAGATGGATGATGCCGTAGATGCATCGAGTATATATGTGTACGACAGAACAGAAAATCTGTACCACCAGGATCGCGGATTTGTCGCATCCGAGGAAATACGAGTGAGCGCGGACGAATTCAGACCAGTCCAAATCAGAGCAGATAGCTGGCTAAACCTTGTAGATAGCCAATCAGAAAGTTCGCTTTCAGCTAGCCAAATACAGAATGAAATCCTGTAACTCTTCAACAACGTCTGCTACCTCTTCCGTCAGCTGGCCGCTCATCATGTCGTATATCCAAGGACTGTAAAGAGATGTCTATCCAATAACTCCGCCTCCACAGGGTATCCATCAGCTTCCCTCCCCAAACGCCAAAATCAGACTCCAGTACGCCCCCAAGAAACAAACGATTCAGCCACTCGTCTCTCACAGTCCATCCCATCTCACCGCCTCGAGTGCCGGGTTTTATCCCAAAGAGTATCCTTTGCTTCTAACAGACGTTCGAATGTTCGGAGATTCATCTCATAATCTCACAATTACAATCCCAAACGGCTCAATGCGTTTACTCGGTCCTCAACCCATGATTGTCTGGGTGGGGTCGCTGGCCGGCTGACCAATGATGGCGATGGTGATGCTTCTGATGCTGGTGCTGGTGATGGCGGCGGCGGCGGCGGTGGTGGTGACGATGAGAGCAGCTGGAGGGCCAGCCGGAACCTGGCATCAATTAATCAGCATGGCCAATAGCCAGCTAGGGGAGTCAAGGCAATCAAGGGAATCAAGGCAATCAAGGCAATCAAGGCAGTCAGGGATAGAAATGTCATGGATAGAGACGTACGGTACCGGCCCTCCGAACTGGGCATCCCCTCTTCGGAGCTTCATTTTTCTGCTGGGCAGGCCGTAGGACACTGGAGTCCTCGCTCGAAGGTTTCTTGGAGTACACCGAGCGCGCCGGTCAGAGAGGCCTTTCAGTCGTCGTCCATTGCTTCTAAGTCAGCCTCATTGGCGATGCTAGCCGTGTCCTCCAGATTCGAGGTGTGACCGGCGATTTTCAACCGCTTGATGATCGATGCGTCCGGCTTCTGGATAATGTACATGGACTGAACGACAGTATGTGTGGCCTCGCTATCACACATGGCTTTCAGCTTGGCAAGCTGCCTGCCCGCCATCCACCAGACGAAGCTGCTGACATAGAGTCTCGAGGGATTGTAAGGGCGTTTGTAGTTAGCAAAAGATGCAACTGCAGTGGACGCCTTGAGCAGTTCCCAGTTAGACAACTGCGAGTTATCTCCTGGAGTGGTCATGAGCATTCTTGACACGCTTGTCTGTTGACGAGGTCGAATATCGCGGAATTTCTCGTAAAGGTCCTGGGAAAATACTGCAAAATCGGGCACCGATTCTTCATCCTCTCGGCTGTTGGGGTTGCGTTTGGTATTGCCGGCCTTCTGAAATTTCTTGGTCCAGATGTCTTTGAGGCCTTGAATGTCCGCTTTCAGGTCGCTCAAGAGCTTTTCGCCTTGAGGATCACCGGAGAACTCATCTGCAACCTTGAGATAATATTGCGCCAGATCAAGATCCCAAAAAGGAGGCTGGCTGATCTCATTCTTCTCCTTCCTGGTGTCGTCGCTATCTTTACCCTTATAAAAGTAGCCGATGGCTCTCTTGCCGGTCTCATCGGCCACCCATTTCAAATAGTCGATTATATGATCCGCGCCAGGCTTTGGATCATCTGTCTTGTAAAGAGGTTGTGCTGGTGTCATTGGAACTTCTGCTGCCTTGAAGGCCGCCCATTCGTCTTCGCCAAATATGAACCCTTGTTTGGGCTGATCGACAAGGTTGCTCAGGAGCTGGCTGAGAATCCTTGATTCCTTAGTATCAACACTCCTCTGCGCATAGCATACTCTTTCTTTGAAAGTGGTGCATGTACCGAGTAAGCCTTGCCTCATGTTGAATTCGAAGCTGCGCTTGAGGAACAACGATATACCGTCCTCGTGGCTTAGGCCACGCACGAGGTCTTTGTAGGTCGTTTTATCTTGTCGAATGAGGCCTCTGGCAACTAAATCAATGGCCTTGGGTACTTCCGCGGTTTCGAAATTGTCTACGATAGCAGGCTCCCAGCACACCCATGCCACATCACCATCATAGTCGCCACCACTCAACTTGTCTGCTAGGGCAGGATACCCCTTCACAGAGAAAATAATGACATCTTTCAGACCAACCAGCTCCTCTCTGATGACGGCTTTAACCTTTTGGATATCACTAACAAAGTGAGCAGGTGATCTTGCCACTAGTATTTGGCTTCCACTGGGTGAAGCTCCTGATAGTCCAGAGACATTATCGACGAATGATGAGAAGTCGATATAGACTTCCCCTTCCTCGAGGACTCCCCAAAAGTCGGGCACCATGTAAGCATAAGTGGATCGCCCCACGGTGATGTTCAATCTTTTCTTCAGTTCGTCGATTCGTTTCGTGAAAACCTTCTTTGCTAGATCCTCCATAAATCTGATGCCCTTCGGATGAAAGCCAGCATCGAGCAAAATGTTTAGACGCTCTTCAAGAACGTTCGGTAATCCAGCCTTGTAGCCAATGCTGCCCCTCTCGCGCTCCTTCATGTTCGGGTTGCTGTCGCGGACCCATTGCCGGAATAATTGTGGATGGTCCCTTGCCTCCTGTATTTCCTGAACCCTCAGCTGCAGACCGTGCTTGAGTATATCAGAGAGGACTCTCTTCATAAGAAGTTTGTCCTTCGCCCGGTCCATCAATATTGGCAGGAATTGGAGATTAAGATCGGCAGACTTGAGCGGGCCTGAGCACTTCGAGACTTCGAAAGTGCGGTGACTTTCATCATCTGACTCTTGGTCGCCTGTTTTCTTTCGAACCCATTTACGCTGCGACGGATACGTTTCAATCCAGTCATCTTGGCCCGTATAATGGAGATCGGTAATCCACAGACCCTTAGCCTCACCAATGCGCCCCTGAAAGGCAGCTGGGAGATATGAGAGGCCGAGGGTCTGCGTGATCTTCAATGCTAAACTTGGTGACATCCTTCCGGCACCGTCGTTCATCACGTTCTTAGGATCGCCAAAAGTGATATTTTGAGCCATGATCTTAATTTGGTCCGGCATGAGCACCACAGTTGATTCAGTTCGAGAGAGCGCTAATGGTCTTGTCAGCAACAAGAAATATATTAAGTACAAAGAAACAACGTACCCAGCGTTGTCCTATTAAACAGTTTTAGATACGACTCATGCTCGTTCCCTTGACTAGGACGGACACACTCAAGCAATTTCGGGATAGATATCTTTGGGCGGTCTTTACAACCATCTACAGCGAAGAAGAATACTCGAAACGCGGCATCTACACTCTCTACATCCTTCACCATCAAAATTTGTTTTTTCGGACGCTCCTTGTCCTTTACCATGAACGGCTTCCAGCTTCTTCCTATAAAGCGATGAGTGGAATCGACCAACCATTCAATGATGATCGATGGCCCCCGTTCCCCCATGGCTGCCAAAGCGCTTGGTATGTTTCGTCCAGAGAGCTGTGGAATACAAATTTCCAAGAATCGATCATGTCCAAATCGACGGCCAAGTCTATAGGATTTTTCCAATTTTAAAGGAGACAACTTCAACTTGAAGAATGTTTCGTCCTCGTCCGGACTGAAATGAAGCGATGCAGCCAATACTACTGCACGAAATCCACTCTCGTATTTCTCTAAGGCACTTGCCCACGCTTCTTTACTTGACCGTTCCGGAAAGGGCTTGTCTCGTAAGACTTCGAGGCCGCGAAGATGTGCCCAGAGCGTCTCATAGTCTTTAAGACTTGCATCAACTTTGCCGTTGTATTTGGATATCGGGACATCAGCGTGAAGAAAGACCCGGGCCACTTCATATACAACACAAGGCAAGGCGCGACTTAGGCAACGGGGCAAGGCAGCTATATAAGTCAGGCGAACACTTGATAATAGGGGAAGATATGAACCCACGAAAAACACCATGGAGTTTCTCTTTGAAACACTCTTCGGCTTCAAGCTGAGCCTCGCTCAACTCACTGTCTGGCATGAACCTACTTTGGCCAAAGTCAAACTCTGATAAATTCTGCGAAAGCTCCTGTTCTGCTGGGCCTGCCGGATTAGCAGCGGCGACGATGATCTCGTCTTCTGTTAGACCCATCAAACGCGATTCAAAGCTACTCGATTGATAGTCAGAGCTATCAGGAGCGTTTTTGTCATCCTGCAAGGTAGTGAACGCGTCCTTGGTCGGCTGGCTTGCGTCAGGGATCGTAGTTTGAGAACTTTGACTTGACGAGTCTTGCTCTTTCTGTGAGAAGACGGAGGTTCCAACTGTTGAGGCAAAACTGGTATTGGCGCTCATGAGATTTCGAGACTCTGATCTTCTACCCGGGGGTGCCATTGTAGATGGCATCGATTGGTGCGGTGGGAGGTTCGATTCCCGTATTATCTCCCTCGAATTTCTTTTGGTAGTGGGAGCATCAGTGAAGGATTCTTCCCGGCGTCGTTTCTCGCTGTTTAACCTTGGACCAGGGCTAAGGATACTCGAAATTGGGACCTTCTCTACCTGCTCTAGTTCCTTTCTGTACTGCTCCACCTTCGACTTGATGGAAGGTGGGCTACCACCATTGAGTCTGTGCCAGTCTTTTTGGTAAGAGAGGAAGATCTCGAACAGGCATTGTAGCAGTTGCTCTCGTTCTTCCGCATTAACGGGCCTCCTCTGTCGACGGGTTGCATCAGGAATGGTCCCTCGTTCACCTCGTGGTTTGTGTACCCAGCCTCTGTAGATCACATCGGCTTTTTGGGTGAACTCTTGATACGCCCTGTCGAATAGGCTCTTGTAAAAGCAGAACTTGATTGTCGCGATACATTTCCGGCTGAGAGAAGTTGGGCTTAAAGACTCGTCGTCGATGTCTAAGCGTAAGTCCCACTCGCCGCATAGAAGGTCGATCCTAGTCTGCAGGGTCTTCTCATCCATCGCTGTGATCCGGCGGCTGGGTGTGCCCGGAGGTTTGGCAATATTGGGAGCCATGGTGCCGGCTCTGATGTGTTAGGATGAAGTTGAGATTTTGTGAGAGAGAAAGAGGGGACCGCAAGGAAAGACTGTATCCAACTGAACTGTTTACATGATATATCAGCATTGCAATTGAGAGCAAAGGGGCCGCTGTTGATACAAACCTGTTTAGATTTAACAATAACGCATTACGGGCGGGAGAAAAGAAAATAAAAAACATGTATTCGCAGAGCAAAGAGTGAGGATGGTGGGAGGGGGGGTGAGAGTTGACGAGGAACGATCTTTTCCGAAAGCTAGAGCGCTCGAGACAATTATAGAGTACGGCTAGCTAGCGAGCGGCCCCGGCCGCACTTAGTCCCCTCCTGTCAACCCTGACAGGCCACTACTGTACGTAAAAGTCACTGCCGAGAAACGGTAAATCCCGAAACCGACAATCGAAGTCGAAAGCAACCAAGTGCGAAGTATCGTCAAAATGCATTCTCAAAAGTATACCGATCTTCGAAATAGCATTCATTCCCTAATCTCGCCCAGTAAGTGTCGCAAACCAATGATTGCGCTTCAATCATTCCAAGAGCGCTCGCTGGCTCCTGCACCACCATCCCTTCTTACTTATTTAGCCCTTGTTCTTCTACCGGTACCTGGAGCAAGAGAAAAAAAAGGAGAGGTGAGGTGTACCTACTGTTACTGAAGGGTTTCCGGGTTGAGTTTGTTGGCATACGGTTATCAATCAAAGCTTACCGGAATCATTAAGATTCCCTATACTACATAACATATATCAGCGGTTAATTTCTCCAACTGCTTGTATGCAGAGATAATATTACAGGCAGACCATGGCAGCTTGGTCGTCACTCGGACATAGTAGAGGATGGAAATGATGATCAGCAACGTACACAAAAAGACCAAATTTCGCGTAGGTAAATACAATCATAAGCAGATATATCTCCATACCTGACTGACCATCCAGAAACCCCAACGCTTCTAATACAACCCCAAAGACATGCCTTCAAATTCATCAATCCGCTCTTCGGGTCCGCCCCCACACCTCATCAGGGTCTTTTTTCCCCTTTGTCTCGGGCACTTTCCAGCTGACGAACACAAAGGAAGCCGCGGCCAGTACGGCAAAAATGAAATAAACCCAGCCCTTCCCGCCAAACCTCTCATTCAAGAAGGTGTTCAGTATAGGGAAGAACTGGGCCACAAGGAAAGTGGCGACATAGTTTGCCCCCAGAGCCCAGCTTTGGGTTGCACCGACAGCTTCTGTGCCCACCAACTCGCTGGCCATCATGAATGGTACAGGACCGAGACCACCGGCGAAGAAGGCAACGAATAAGAGCACCGAGATTGCAGAGAGAAATTTGAACTCCCAGCGTAGGGCTAGAGCCAGAACAAGCGACATGGTTCCCATTCCAGAGATTGAAAGGAGCAAGCAAGCCTTACGGCCAATCTTATCCGGCAATGGAGCGCATGCTACGGTCGTGAAGAGGTTGACAAGCGAGATCATGATGGTGAGTAGGGAGGAGGTGATGGGCAACACGCCGTGAAGAAGTGAAACCGAGTACATCATGATGCTGTTGATACCGCAAAGTTGCTGCGCGCACATGATACCGATGACAGCAATGATCGCAGGCCGGTAGAAAGGATCTCGTATCACTTGGAAGAATCCGACATGTGCCACAGACTTGGAAAAGGCTCTGCTTGTGATGGAAGGACGTCTCCCTCGGGCCTCGGAGTCAACCAAAAGCCTCTCCTGTTCGGGAACGTCCCTGTCAACATCCCAGTCTTCGATCTCCTCAGCGATAGAGGACCCGTGGCCCCGGATACGCTGAAGAGTTCGAACAGCTTGCTGCGGATTTTTGTGAGATGCAAGCCATGCTGGACTCTCTGGCACAAAGCACAATCCTATGCCCTGCATCAGGCCAAGCCCAGCTCCAACCGCCAGTATGATCCTCCATAGCGAGTCTTTGCTGAGATAGTATCCCAAACTCTGTGTGATCAAGATGCCAATATTGATGGTAACCTGTGTCATGGATCCAAACAGCCCTCTCTCTTTCGGTGGCGCAACCTCCGAGATGTAAATCGGCACAATGACGGTCGAGGCGCCTGCCCCGATACCAGCCAGAAATCTGCCGCCGGACAGCATAGGCACTGAGCCAGACAAGGTTGCCAGACCAGAGCCCACGACGAAGAAGACACTTGTAATTCTCATAGCGAGCAGCCTGCCATAGGACCCAGCAATCGGACCTGAAGTGATGGCGCCGATGAAGCTACCCAGAACGAACATGGAAGACAGGGCGGCAAATTCGACCTCGTTCATGGGGATACATTGGGGAAGCTTGGAGTCGGGCTTCGAGCCAAGCTCGTCGACGTTGGAGGTGTTTTTGCAGGTAATAACATCTTGAGGAGCGTTAAGTTCCGACTTGAGGATGTTAGCCGAGTATGGGGGAGAGTGATGGGGGAGAGGAGGCGTAAGTAAGCGAGTAACTAGGCAGGTAAGGTACGTGTACGTACGAGATGGTATCCAAATTGGAGGGGTCCTAATGTGGAGATGAAGATCAGGTAAACCAAATAAAGGGTCACGTCGCGAACGGACTGTCGTAGTCCGGGGGAAGCCATGTTTGAAAGTTGAGGTGAAGAATTCGCTGTGACTGTGACTGTGTTGTGTGTTACATATGTGGTAATGGTTGATGTTGTCCTTCGAAGATGGCGGCCGCTCTGGAATGGAACTACGGGTAGGTAGGGTGTATGAGAGTAGCCGAGACCCCAATCCAGACCCGAGTCTCGAAGTTTTGCAGTACCAGACAGTACTGTATCAAGTCATGGATGGCATGGATATTGACTTGTTGGAGTCGAACCGTCCGAATTGAAACGGGGCAGGCATATGGAGGAGTGTCAACTTTGCAACTAATTCTAATTGATGTGGGGGAGTGCGCGGCTGAATAATATGGTAATCAGCACGTGGAGTATCTACAGAGGTATCTTATCTGTCTTATCTACCCCCACCCTACCCCACCTCACACCCCACGTGATCATCGACTTGGCGACTTTGTTTCATCGATGGTCAAAGGGAACAATTGGAAACGAACTCTGGGCTTGTCTCGGCACCCTTACTTATTGGCCCCTTGTCCCTGTACTGGACCGGGCCTGGCGTGGTCTGCCCCGACCTTTGTTCTTTGCTACGTGTAGCAGTTCCTATATTGTAACTCCTACCTCCATCAGTCACTCTCTCTTGTCTGCGTGCAAACCCTCTCCATATACTGATACTTATACTTATTGTATCCCCATCTTCCTCCTCTTGTCCGTGGTCCTTCAAGCCTTTAAAGCCACTACCCAGTCCAGTCCAGTCTAGTCCAGTCCGGCCCGGTCTTTTCGCCCTCAAGCCCCCTAAGCCAGCCCCTCAGCTCCCCCGTTCTCCCTACCACCACGAGGCTAGTTATCTACTAGGCGCAATCATGGCGTTGCGACCGTCTCTCCTTACCAGAGGCCTGCCAACTGGACTCAGCGATACGGGCTCTCCAGCCTCGCCCGCCGAGCAACGAGACGATGCGAAGAAGAACATGTTGAAGGCGATGCGGGCCCTGCCTACTCAGCATTACTGGAATGTGTACTTTGACAGGTGAGCAAGCGGCTTGAGAGCACTCACAGCTTCACTCCCCGGCTTTCCGGTTCCAATCCGCACGAAGTACGAAGTACTATGTATACGAAATCCCTCTAACACTGGCAAAGACAGCAGAAGGAGCAGCAAAAGTCCCCGGATGGGTCCTACACAGCGTCCCTGGAGCAGCTTGGCTCCCAAATCGAGTCGGTTCAGGACTTCTGGCGCTACAATAACAACACGCCCGTCGACCAGATCAAGATGCGTGAATCCATCTACTTGTTCAAACAGGGCTTCCAGCCCGTGTGGGAAGACCGAAGAAACATAAATGGAGGGAGTTGGACTTTCCGAGTGCCCAAGGCCAACGGGCCCGATTTTTGGACGAGAGTCCAGCTGATGGCTATTGGAGAGAAGCTGCAAAGCATTCTCGATGTTGGTACGTAGAACTTTGACTGGGACTGGAACCGAAAGACCGAACGAACGTATCCATATCAGATCGTAAAAGTGCTGACAAAATGCTGCAGGTGATCAACTTGCCGGCGTCGGTCTCTCGGTCCGTTTCAACTCGCACCTCATCTCCATCTGGCATCGCGACGGCTCCAACAAGAAGTCGATTGACGCCATTCTGGCCACCGTCCTTGAGGAGCTCCCCGCAGAGCTCAAGCCGAAGCCAGATAACTACTTCTACAAGAAGCATTCCGACCACGCCGGTTTCAAGGCTCCCGACCCCGCAGCCACTGCTTCTGCTTCTACCGTTCAGCCTCCCAAAGCATGATACCCATTGATTTGAACGATGAAGAGTAAGGAAAAAATAGCGTACGATATACTCACAGATTCCGTGTATTGCATTGTTGGATTTGGTGTTCTGCGTTGTTGCATATTGTGGCCATTTCGTTGGCAATCGGAAGTTTACGGCGTAGACACGCTCGCCTTCGAGATAAAAGTCCAACATAATGATAAAATTTTCTCGAAATTCGATGGAATGGAGTCCACGCTTCCTGTTTAGCGTTAAACTGCTGTTAGCAGCTGTTCCACTTGAAATATGACTTTTTTTGCCCGACTTATTTTAATATTAGGGTCCACAGCGGAAGTTTTCTTTCTACAACAAATATCCCCTTGTCAAAAGGACAAAGCATCCAGCATCTCAAGCCCGGCTGCCCGGGTAGCTCAATCGGTAGAGCGTGTGGCTCTTACGACCTGTCTGTAGCAATACTGTCTGCGTCAAGATCACCTCAAGGTCGTGGGTTCGAGCCCCACCTCGGGCTCAATTCCCGAGGTTTCCATCTAAGGAAGCTTCTCATCAGCTTTTGCCTCCTAATTTTTTTTGTGGCGTTTTTGGGGGGTTTGTTATAGACCGCGGCAATCGCGGCTCATACCGGTATTTTGCGTGTTTTTTCACCAGCTGCTTCTCCATGTAAGGGATTGTCAATCCAGCAATCTATTTAATTACAGTCTCGTGCAGCAGTGCTGCTCCCACAACCTTATTAGCGTTCCATTCTGAAACCTCAACCGCCTTTCAACGTTTTCTTTTGCCGCTAGCAGGGCGAGCCATGCATGTCAATCAATTACCTACCGGTACTTCGATTTCACTCTGCAGTCGCGGAAATCTTCAAGAATGGTTGGCAGACTTATTTGGCCGTATCAGGATCGTGATACGTACCGGTATCCGCGACAGCATTTCACTTCCTTACTCACTGGACATTCCTGCGTTATCTAGTATGTCGCATCTTCGTGCCATCGACGACGTACCGCCGAGCGCCACATAACCAACCACCAGCACGATCGTCGAAGTACTTACCTACTCCCCGCCCTGCCTTACTTGCGGCAGTGGATCTATCTATATGTACATTTATAGAAAGAAGGAATGTGAGATTGTGAAGACATACTACGTACGTAGTACAAACACGACATGCTCAAACTCAATCTAAATCTGGAAGTTTTTTTGTACAGGAAAACATTCGTGGTCTAGCTCTATGTATATAGACAGTCATATATACATGCATGCATACTTACATACCTTTCCAAAAACCTACCCTGATAGTCCTTCGGTTGTGAGTCTTGAGAAAATGCAAAGTATGCAGGTCGTTAGACAAGTGCAGATGCACTACGGAATCGCAAATGCCAATTCGAATATGCCCTCCAGCACCCCCCCTCCTTCCCCTCAGCCCATACCTGGGTCACCGACCCACCGACCCAAAACGCCGTTGCAGCTCTAGCGAATAAAGTGGTATCTTGGTGTCTCTGTGGACATGCAAATGCTACGCGAGCAAGCAGGACAGCCCCTACAATAAAATAAAATAACACAACCACTTCTCTACTTGCCTCGGCCATCTTTGCAGTTGACATGCACGAGTCTATGTGTCCATTCCGAGTGGCCACCTTCGATCACGACAGCCGTGAGCCGGTGGCCCTTCAAGCAGCTGGTATCCAGTCCTAAGCTGTACTTGTCGACCTGGAGGCCCTTCTTGGAGTCGTGACCAAAAATAACGGTGGTCCGCTCATGCTTCGGAAGAGTCTTTTGGTACTTGTTCCAAACCTGCAGTACGTTAGTACTTGCAAGATAGATAGCCGAGAGAGGGGAGTAAGAGCGAATAATATGGAACCTCACCTTCGTCCAAGCTTTGCCTTTCCTCCCCTCACTTGGTACGCCTCCTTTGCCGATCGTCCTCATGCTCATAACAAACGACGGGTCCTGCTTCTCCAACCTCACACCCGGGGCTAAGCCAGCGTGTACCACCACCACCTCGCCCATAGACCCGAGTTTTCCAACTCGCAGGATGACCGGGCACTCCTTGAGCCACTTCATGCGCTTGTGTCCCAGGGCCTTCACCAGCCTGCGATCGTTGTAGTCCCCGTGGCTGAAGCTCTCTTCTTCCAGCGCATCGTCCTTCTTTGCCGAATCCTCGCTGGGCCCAGGTAGTTCCGTTTCGACTTGCTCGCGCTTCATGTCTGCTGCTGCCAGTATAATGCGATCCTCGTGGTTTCCGCGCACGCCCGTCGCTCCCAGGCTCATGGCCAAATCCACCACCCCAGGCGAGTCCGGACCCTTCGAGACCATATCCCCGGCCAAGACTAGATGGTCGTGTTTCTTGTTGAAGCCAACCTTGTGCAGGAGAGCCTGCAGCTCTTCCTTCATGCCGTGGACATCGCCAACGACCACCAGTCGGCCGGGATGACGGTTCTTGCCGGTCTCTGGGACGAATGTGGCAGGGAGGTCCATCAGCTGGGTCATGTCCGAGAAGGCGGGGTGGTCGCCCAGACCATATTGCTCTTCGACCATCGGCTTGGGCTCAGTAGGCTGCTGCGACGAGGCATCTTCTGTTGTTATTGTTTTTTCCATCAGGTCCATGATCTCGGAACGTTGGAAGAACAGCACAGAGATCAGCCAGGAGACCAGTCCGAAGGCCATGATCCTTAAGAACATAGGTCGCCGGGACGGGGTTTTCGTCCCGCCCTGGTGAAGAGGGAGTGAGATAGGCATTGAGTCGTTCGCTGGTGGAGTCTTTGGATGGGCAATGAAATGAATGCGGCGTCTCTCCTCCCTCGCAGCGACTCTGCGAATCTGATCAATCTAGTGGAGTCTGCTCTTCAAAGTCCTGGATATGTTGATAGACGTGTTGGTGTTGTTCATGTTGATTGTCTCTTAAGTCGGTCGCCTGTCACTCCCAGTGCATGGGAATGGCGAAAGCCGTCTTGGCGAGGAGATCCGATCCCCAGGCGGAGGTACGAGTCATGAGTGGCCATTAATAGTGGGGCTTGCTGCCGCAACTTTTGGGGCCCTTACTCCGTACTTAGCGAGCGTACATAACGTGCTTAACGGTGTACCGTACGGGATTATCTCGGCCCGCACCAGCCACGACAGCCACGACATCCACGACAGCCATTGACCTCAGCCTTTCTGGTCTGACGAATATTCCCAGCTCCGCCTTGCACAGTCGTGCAGTCGTGGTGAGGTTCCTTTTTCCTCTTATAAGTTGGCTCACTTCTCCCTTCCTCACACTCCCCTCCTTGCAACAAAACGCGATACACAACCAATCAATCAGTCAATCACCATCATGCCTCGCGCGACTCGAGAAACCAAACTGTACAGACAGGATGCGAAACTCAACCACAATTTGTTGACACCGGCCGAGCGCGAGAGGCTGATAGAGGTCGGTCAACCGCCCCGTTTGGGAAACAATCTCTCACAGTTTCGCAGCCATATCTTCCATCTCCGCCTTCGCGATCTCCTACACGATCTGGCAGAAGCTCAGCCATTCCAACAATTCACATCGACAACCCGAAGGCGCATTCGAGGCTCGGGCTACGGAAGTTTCTGCGCAATCAACTGCACGCCCTTCTCTATGCCATCGTCCACACTCTCTTCTCCGTGTACGTACGCTTACGGCTGGGATACCATGCCGTGAAGGACAGAATATTCGCCATTCTGTACTATCACCATCGAACGCCCGAGCTTATTCAAAAGGATGTCAAGGGATTGGGCCGCTTACCTACACACCTAAGTGTGATTCTGAAGCTCGAAGATGGAGGTCGTGGTGGCGCCGGGCTAGAGGCCCTGGTGGACGAAGTCGCCGAAATATCTGCGTGGTGTGCATGCGTGGGCATTCCGATGCTTTCTATATACGAGAAAACTGGTATGTAGCAGGATTGTGGTTGCTGGTGGACCAATTTTAACAGGTACCCAGGTATCCTCAAGGCGTACGTTCCTGCGACCCATAGGGCGGTTTCCAGGAAGCTCTCCTCATACTTCGGGCCCCAGCAAACGGTATTGTCGATGCGAGCACCTCACATACCCTCCATAGAATCAGCTCCCAGTACCTCGACAGGCGAAAACGCCAGAGCACCAGTCAAAAATTTATCAGTGCTGCTGCTTTCCGCAGAGGATGGCCGCGACTCTCTAGTCGATCTCACCAAGACTCTCGCGGAGATGTCTCAACATTCAAAGATATCCTCAAACGATATCAACATCGACCTCGTCGACGCAGAGATCTCGGAAAGTGTCATGAACGAGCCTGAGCTCCTGATATTGTTTGGACCTACAGTTGAGCTTTCAGGCTATCCACCGTGGCAGATAAGACTCACGGAGATCTTCCATGTACAAGACAATCACGGCGTTGGATATCAAGTCTTTTTGCGGGCGTTGTACAACTATGCTAATGCTCAGATGAGGTTTGGCAGATAGAGTAAAATTTCGAGTCGAAATCAGGGATAGAATAATCAGATGTGCTTTCAAGTTCGTATTTTCTTTGTGCATGATAGCCGGCTGGGACAGCTCACTCGGATTAAAACGACCAGAGTGACAAGCGTCATATCCCTGCGGTTGTAGCGCCGGTTCACTTTCCTCGTCTCTCCCACGATATCATTGCCTTGTATTTAGTTGCCTCCAGTATTTTTGCTTGGTGCTTCCCGCAGAGGCTCCTCGCGATCTGGCTCTGATGACCTTCCATGTCGTTGCCCCCAAATCTTGATAGATCCCTTTTGCGCGGCGGCTTGTTCGCTCTTCAAACTTGCCCATAGACTGCACAGCAACTTAGCCGAAAATCCCATCTCTCACGCCGCTGTTCTTGTCCCCAACGCCATCATTGCCCATGCCCGGACTCCAACTGATCGTGACTTCGTATTCTCGTCAGATGAGCCTATCATCTATCTCCACACGCCTGCTCTCCTCATAATCACCTCAAACTCATCTTTCTCCACACCCTTGGCCACCCCAGCACCCCCGTTGGCCTCCAAGATCATGCGGCGCATCAGCTCTTCGTCCACATCCTCCTTCAGTGTCCTCGCAACCCTTTTCAGCGTCGCAAGTGTGATTCGTCCCTCGCCTCCGCTGCTAGTAAACAATGCGAACGCCTCATCTACTTCCTTGGCGTGGGAATCGGACGTGCGGGTTCGGTTGTGGAACTTCAAGGCGCAGATAGCGACGAAGGAGCTGTAGACCGCGAAGCCCTCTTCGTCAGGGTCAAGGATGGATATAAACTCTTCGAGTTCATCTGGGCTGGGCGCAACACCCAAGGCTCTGCCAGGAAATCTGCATGAGCATCCCCTCTGTACACATATGGAAGTATGAAGTAAGGAGGAGTGAGGCGAAGCATACTACTTACTTCATAGCGCGGCGCACATCTCCAATCGGGATGACCTTCTCCTTCTCGCCCTTGCGCGTCTCCTCGAAAAGCTCGAAGGCCTCCTTGATCTCTAGCTCCTCTGCCGCGGTGATGTTGTGTTCTTTTGCGAGCTTGGAGGGGCGCTGTTTCGCGGTTGACGTCTCGGCCGGCTGGGCAGCGCGACGCTTTGCTGGCTGTGGGAATCTCGTTAGTCTTCCAGGTGTGTGCCTACCATACTAGAATGAGCAGAGGGCAATAAAGTTATATTTACCATAGTGCGACAGCGACAAAGAATGATCCAGCTGTTGTGGATGTTGAAGTTGCTGTTGTTGTCGGGATTGATTTACCCCGGCCTTCATTCAGCCTTGCAGGGAAAGGTTGGAGCAACTGTAGCCGACCCCCCTCTTTCAACAGCTTCAATCGATTCAATTCACCCCATCCCCCCCAGTCACACTTTTTCACCCTACTCTATCTTCCACTTACAATAAAATAAATATCTCACCCAAGCTTGCGCCTCTCAAAGCCATCAAGCTCTCGGCAATCATGGCTCAAGCCGCCATGAACCAGGAGGATATCAAAGCTCTCGAGCAGCTCCGCCAGCGATTCTTCAACCTCGCCAACAACATTGCATCACTGAAACAAGACGTACTGCGCAGCAACCCACTTCCACCATGGTATGTTCCGTGTCTTAAGTGCTTCCTCACGCTATACGAACGAAGATCTGATCAAACCCTGCACAGGTCCTCCCTCCAAACCTCCGCGTCCATCCTTGCGAGCAACATCGAGAGTATCACGAATCTCATGTCCAAGAATGCCGACCTCTTGAACAGAACAGTCGTCTATCCATCCACCAACTTCCCAGGCCGCACACAGGAAGGCATCCTGACGCAACTACTGCGCAAGAAGATGGAGCCACAGGTCGAAACCTGGGTCGAGGAAGGCCGTACTACTCACGCTGAGGTCACAGAGGGAGGTACTGATGCGAAGGCCGAGGAAGAGCTGTTGGACTGGGCGAAAAACTGGCTCGGTGGCCGCGTGGCGAGGTATGTTATAAATGAGGCAGGGGACAACTATACCTTCGAGGAGCGCGAACTAGGGATCGAGAATGTCAATACTGGGCTGCGTCGAAAGCTCGAAGAAGGCGATAGCGCACGGAGCCGCAGCCGGAGCCGGAGCCGGAGCGGGAGCGGGAGCGAAGACGAGGAAGACGCAGGAACTGCGGTCACAGCTGTGCGACGAAGCAGTATTGGAGAGGTCGAGTCTGGCCTGGGACCACTGAGGAAGGACCCTAATGGCAAGAACAGGAATATTGAGGATATTCTGAGGTTTGGGGTTGGTGGAGCAGTTTTGGAGGGACGCCGGTGACGGGTGGACGAATCAGATATGAATGAAGGACGTCAATCTTAGCGTCGATGCTGAACGACAAGGAACAACATTTACCAGGACAGACAGACTACTAGTGAGTCGGTTCTGGAGGCTCCATGATGACTTCCAATCTGGTTAACGTTTCGAGACACTCTCGACAGACTAGTGTTACCAGCCTATCGCAGTTCTATCACCGGGATTCTGCAACACTAGGCTTACCAAAGCCAGATGTAAGCACAAGAGCACCTCTTATCAGGAATAGGCTTTACGTTGGTCATGGCTACCATACGTCCCCGGCATATGCCAAAACTGTGGCTTTACGAATCAATAGGAGTAGAAATGACTTCTGTCATTCCAGCCTCACCGGTTGTGGCCTTGCCTCTCTTGGAGTAGATCTCTATTCGCAGTCAGCAGGCCTGGGGTTTTGTTGTTGTAATTGGGTTGGCGCTCAGCTGAGTAAGATGTGGTGCTCTTGATGCAGCTGAGGTTACTTTGTCACCCCCGAGGGCCGATTTGAGTGGTACAGAATGGTACTTGAAGTTCTCTTCCTCCCCTTGTGTTTGATTCCTTTTTTGCATTTGTTCAACTTCATGTCATAGTTCACTGAAGTCTTGTTGACTAGTGTCACTCTCTCTTTCACACAAGCGACTACCTTCTTAACCAAGAAGTGACTACCCTTTACTTTATAGAACGACCCGGCAGTTCACGCGCGGTCTCGCAACCTGGCAGCGCTCGTAGGTGCGCCGGGTCGGCGTTGAGGTGCTGAGACGGGACCTCTGGATTGGCGGCTTAGAAGCGATTTCGGGCGAGGAGAGCAGGACCGGGGAAAGGCGCGAGGGAGAGGCGAGGAGAAAGGGGCTTGGGGAGTGGAGGGAGCTCTGTGCGCTCTGGGGCGGGATGTGGATTGTCAATCTTACCATCAAAGGGAGCCTGCGCGTGAAGCTGCTGCAGACCGATCCGGGAGAGCCATCCAGCTCTGCTGCTCCCGAAGGAGCGACTACTTCTGCTTCTGCCTCCGCCTCTGCTTCTGCTTCTCCTCAGCCTCCTCTTTTCTCTCTCCTTCAGCGGACACGGTGTCGGCAAACGAGAGGTGCATCCTGGACGTCAGGTGCGACTGGGTCCTTCACGGCCTCCTCGCCCTCGAATCTCTCCGGTATCTGGAGCTGGAAATGAGAGACGCGGGTGTGAGCCGCGAGGAGAAACTTGTCCTCTGCGCCGGCCTGGAAGCGCTGCTAAATACCGGCAAGAAGAAGAAGGGGGCAGAGGCCGATGGGGGGTGGAGCGGTGATGCACGGGTGGTGTTGCTGGAGAGAAGCGAGGTCCCGGTCTACGGGAAGGAGGGGCCGAATGGTTGTAACTTTGCCTGGTTCGGAGGGGAGCCGGGTGATGAGATTTTCTGGCATTATGATAAAGATTTCCCTCCCGTGTGGCTGCTAGTTATTTTTTTTTTTTTGTTGTTGTTGGTAGTCGCATGGGCTGTCTCGCAGTACAGTATGCAGCTGTGAATTGATTGACATCGATGCTGTCGCAATCCATCTGCTTTTTGTAGCTTGCTTGAAGGTGCAAGGTGCTGCCATGAGTCTGTTCTGGATGTTCATCTCGGGGGGTCTGTTTTGAAGGAGTACCTAGTTAGTTAACTTACTAACATCGTGAATTAGAATCCAATTTGATTGTCAGTCTACCTAACCCCTACGTTTATTTAAGCGAGTTTTTCTTTTGGGGGTGGGGGGGGTGGAGTTTCTTGGAAATCTTGAGACATCCAAGAAAGAAGTAATCACTAGGTAATCGATGACTTGAAGAGGGATAGAAGGATCAATTCGATGCTCTCTGATCATTCTAGGATTTGAGGAAAGTTGAGTCTTCGTTCATATCAGCATTCCCTCAGGCATGTCCTTCATGACGAGTATCTTCCCCTTGCTGCTCGTCCTCACTCATCGCTCCAACCCTTGTAAACAATACGACTTCCGTAAACCTCGCCCTTCTTCAGCACGGACTGAGCCCTCCATTCGGGTACGTTGACCGCGTTGACGTACCGACTCGGCTCGACACAGAATCCGCTTCGAGCGCCTCTAGCCTTGACGCCGTCCACCTCGGCCACATCAATGTACTTGCCGGTGTAGAATTGGAATGCGGGCTCGGTGCTCAGAACTTCCAAGTGGATCTTCGTCAACGGGTGGTACGCAGACACCAGCTTGTGGAGCGGCGACGAGCGAGTGTCGAGTGGAACGGAGGATGCGGTGGATGGATCCACGATGAAGCAGTCGTCGATGTCGGGGAGCGTTGGACCGAGAGTGAAGGAGGTGTTGGCCTTGACCTCTGGGTGACAAGCGGTTTGCGTGCTGGTCGGGATGCCTCCGTCGTCGAGTGGAAGATATGCTGAAGAGCAGAGGGTGACCTCGGTGCCTTCGATTGTGGGAAGGCCACTGAGGTTGAAGTACCTGCAGTTGAAAGTCAGTCAGTAAAATTCGGCTGCCAGTTGGGCCTACTTACGAGTGGTTCGTAACATTGACCGCGGTCTCTTCGACTGCGTCACCGACCAACTTTACTTCATACTCAATCCCCAGAACTCGCACTTCCTTGCCACTCTCACTCTTTTGCAAGCCGGTAGTGTATACGACGCTGACATCCAACGTTCCTGGATATCCCTCTTCGCCATCCTTGTCCAGCAGAGTAAACTCGACACTCTCGCCACCCTCCAGCCCATCGACACCCGGGATAGTGCGCACACCGACCAGTTTGGGGCCATGCCAGACTCTCTTGCCCCATCCCACAACACCACCATGCAGAGCATTGGCCCCGTTGTTCTTCGCCAACGGGTAGGATTTGCCATTCAAAGACTGGATTTCGGCGTTGGCGATGCGGTTTGCGACCCGGCCGATCGTCTCTCCGAAGAAAGGCCCATTGTGAGAGACGTACTGCGATTGTTTGGGGAAGCCTTGCACGATGTTCAAGTTGCCCTTTCCGACCAGGAAGGCTTGAATGATGGCCCCCAGGGAAAGAAACTGGAAGGGCGCTTCGCCGGCCATGGCGAGGTTAACCTGTTCTGGTGCCGTGTTGAAATCTGGGGATATGGGTACGTATTTACTACTGATTGCTGATTGACTGAAAAGCTTGAGGTTGAATAATCAACCAACAATGGATGCAGTCCGAAGAAGATTAATATAGACGGGAAAACAGCGTCTGATCTGGCGAGACATTCAGCCTGTTGTCGGCGGCGCGGGGAAAAAGGCTACACGAGGCTGAGCCAAAGAGGGGTAAATAGAATAAGTAGACCAGGGACCTAAACAATAACTCGCTAAAAATAAGGCATGTACCTATTGGACCGGCAACAACAACCTTGTAGTTGTCAGCTCGCTTAGGTGGCCTCCTTTCATCCTTTCAGACTTCGATTCAAGCGAGCATATTGCGCAATGAAGCCAGCAAGCTTTAGTATTCTCGCAATCGCAGCAGCTTTCTTGATTAATAGGAATTTTTCTATTGATACTCTGCTGCTCGAAGGATAACTCTGATGCTAATGACCATGGTCCATATCCAGTGCTGCATTTTCGTTGTACGAGGAAGGAGCGACGTGCCTCCATAGACCCGGCCCATCTTGTTGATTATCGTCCTGTTATGTCGATGCCACTAAGCGAGGACAATACTTACAACAGATGATGGGCAGATTTCTCGACCGGGGTCACAACAATTATTATGATATCCTGCTTTGAATGATTCCCATACAGACCAAGAAGACAGGGCTGTGCGCATACCCATCCCATCTACAAATGAAAAGAATTCCAAATAGGCTAAGTCCCAAGCCTGAATTCTGCGAAACATAAATAATGAACATCGAAAGCGACTAATGATGAAATCAAGAAGCCGTAGCACTGTATTTGTCCTTGCATGTAGAGCACATACACCATGCGCGCTCAAGCGGAACATAAGACAGGACAGGCCCTGCCCTTTGCAACACAGCACAGCACACAACATTCGTAGCACCTCACGCCATGCTACTTGTCTTATGAATCTCCGCGTGATCACTGATATTCTTGTTCAGTCCCTCCCGCTGCTTGCATCTCTCAAAGCTGAAGCTCTTCGCTGCTTCGTCCAGCTGCTCGAACGAGAAATCCTTGAACAGGTTCGCGAATTCGACCGAGAAAGACTTCGCCAGGAAGGTCTCGATGGTGTTTCGTACCAAATGTCGCTGTGTCGGCCATGACGTGGGATAGGTCTTGGTCGCCTCGGGCGCGACGCTGTCCATCCATTTCGCAAGTGGCTCGATCACTGTATTACGGTAAGTTAGTAGTTGCCAGATGCGTATGCCTCAGGGGAACGTTCATTATTGATAGTCTCAAAAAAAAATATTGAGGCTGGATGGAAAGAGAAAAGGGAGAAGGGAAAAGGATTGGGCCCCCCCGCTATCTTACCGTCAGCAACTTCCTTGCTAGGATATTTACCCCAGCTATCGAGCTGGAGCATGCGCTTCTTCTCCAGGAACGGCTGGATCGTCTTGTTCCACAAACCATCCGGATCAGTGTGGACCATGCCCTGAACCCCAATGTCCTTGTACAGCCAGATAGTCCACGGGATTCTGTGTTTGTCGTAGATGGCCAGCTGAGCCCCCAGCAGGTTGTATCTCTCTTGGTTGATCTCTTCGGCGTCAGAATCGATGCGCGGGTCCGAATACACGGGCCCGAACTCGCCATTCCACGCTGGAACTTTCTGCTCTTGCATGAACGAGCATTTGCGCAGGAACTGCTGCTCGATCTTTGAATTCTGATCGATGCTTCCCCTGAACCTGTCGCCAGTAGGGAAGCCCATCGAGCAGTAGTCGTGCAGAGCGTACACGCTGTTTGGCAACACTCTATCGAAGTATTTCCATTCCATGGCGAATGTATTCCCGTCCAGCCATAGTATATGATTGGGGTCGATCTTCCTCAGCGCTGGCTCGAGACGAGCATAGAAAGCTGGCAAGCGCCAATGTTCGGGATCACAGGGCTCGTTTAAGGGGTTGTAGCCCGCCACCCAAGCGTTTTCCCTGTAGTGCCTGGCTATCTAATGAACGTAAGTAATTGTGTTCAGCTATGTAAGAGGCAAGTTCGGAATTTAAGTTTGCTTTCTACCTCTTCCCAGAGCCAGACTGTGCGATCTTGGTGATCTTTGTAGTCCCAGAAAGCCGCGTAGGAACTACCCGTGTCAGAATGCCAGTCAGGATTCTGACCACCCGGCGTCGTGTGCATGTCAAGGATCGTGTAAATGTTGTGCTGGGCACACTGGCACGAAGTGTTAGCTTCTCCTTGGTGACACAGAGGGGCTTTGGGAGATGCACCAGGTCGATGACTCGATCCAAGTGCTTGAATCCCGACTCTTTCAACACGCGAGGATTCATGTCGTCCTCGAAATGTCGATAGTTGAATGGTAAACGGATACAGTTGAGCCCCAGACTGGCAAAAAACTGGGCGTCTGCCTCTTGAAAGAAGTACTCGAGGAATTTATCAAAGAAGAACTCCTGCTTCTCCTTGCCAAGGACATTCAGCATGGCGGCTCGGTGTTGATACTCGTGGCCTGGGTAGCCAGTTCTGTCCTATTCAGTACTGACATGGTACGTAATTAATGGTGCCGGGAACAGGTCGTACATGAAGTTCTCCATGTTCATCCATCCTCCAAGGCCAGCTCCTCGGAGAATCACCGTGTTCCCCTTGCCATCAACCACTTTGTCCCCTTCAACCCGGAGGAAACCGTTGGACATGATTTAGTCAATAGACGGCAAAAAGTTCAATAAGATAAGCCGACTCAAGATACTTTCGCTTTTGCGTGAAATGAAAGGAGAACGAGAGTCATGTTGCGGACTTGCCAAGTTGCCCGCACGCATCATATAAAGGTTATAGTCGTCCATACGGAATCCAGTAAGTAGCTGTAAGCTATTCAGCCTGATATATATGACTCCAGTCTTTCCCCGCGTTATACATGGATGGCAATCCAGAATAGGTCAGCCGGCCGTCACTTCTCGCTTACCGGATAAATCAAAACAGACCAATTCGGCTGGAAATTGTTCAAAATCGCGGCTTCTATTTTAACTAGTGTGGTGGAGTTGGGGCTCTGTATTTGTTTTGTCCATGTATATAGTACTGATGTTTTAGGCACCTTTGTCACGTGGGTGCGCTGCATGCTCTGGCCTGCTAAGCACGTGGTTAGGTCACGTGCAGGCTCCTATATAAACGAGTAGTTGGTTCCTCCCTGAACCAGCACCACATCACCATACAATACAATACACGTACTCACAGCACACATTCGAGTGTCCTTCGATCGTCCTCCTTTTCCTCCCTTATTCACCTACGATTCTACCATAGCTATATTCATATATATCTCTTGATTTGACGTTGGGTATATGTCGGAGCTCTTCCCTTCCACATATATTTAGTGACCTACGCAAGGAATCGAACCAAAGGTTGGTCTTTATCCCATCCCGGCAGAACTGTGATTTTTCCCCGATTGTGGCACCAGCGCGCTCAATCCGTTCTAAGGTCTTGTCGATGTTTTGGATGTGTTCGAGCACGAATCGGCGTATACCCGGGAGTGCTTCCTCGTCGGAATAATCCGTTTGTGGTCCTTTTACCCCAATATCGTCGACAAATGGCATAGAGACTTTGGGTTGCAAAGGACTTAAGATGAGATTGACTGTTCGGACGAATTGGGCCACCGAGTTTGTAGCACCTTGCGGGAGGGTAGTGCATCGGAAGAGACCTAGCGATGTGAAGAAGGCGGTAAGGTCCCTACTCGACTGATGGAGTGTTTGTTGATCATAGCCCGAATAAAGGTCGACTAAGCTAGCTATCTAGCAACCAGAAAACTCTTCAGCAAACTCATCCACAGTTAAGGGTAGATTGGCGTCCTTCCGTGTAACTGCATTGAGTAGAGTTGCTGAGTTGATGAGTCGGTACTAGCCCGGCTGCTTTTTGGCTATTAAGAACCACTGATTCCGGTACGGTCCTTCGCAATACTCTAAAACTCCTCTATCAAGCTTGTCTTGGAGCATTTTGATGACAATAGGCTATAGGGCTTTCGGACACGAGTAGTTAGGAGCCTGCCAAGCCGTGTGTAAGATGGTTTTTAGCTTAGTCGGTAGTGATACGTCGTCGTAGAACCTACCGCACTCTTGCCAAGCGAATGCGATTGATTTTTCTTTGCTCAGCATCATCTCTTTAAACAAATCCCTTTCCTTAAGCCGTAGTGTATTACCGACATCTAGGTTCGCTATGCGTTCGGGTGTGATTCGGGAGCCTCTCGGTATGTCGGCAATGCGCGGAAAGAGGTATTGCTTGTATTCTCCTACTTGTTCTTGTGGCGTATCCTTGGCCTTCGATAGCTCGTACCAATCAACCTTGCTACCTGGTGCTGCTCTTACGCCGTCTGCTTCGTCAACTGGCTTGATCTTTTTATCCTTGGTCTTGTACATGCCGAACACCTTAGCCGAGTCCGAAGAGATCTCTTTTCGGGTCCGATAAGGTGTCGAATTCCAATAGTCGATATGATCGTAACAGCGGGTCATAAGGGTATCGGTGCTGACGGCATCTATTTGGCAAGTTATTGAAGGATCGCATTCCGTAGAGGCAAGAACGTCGATAAACTGCTCCCAAGTAGTAGAGTAAGACCAACCTTTGGTTCGATTCCTTGCGTAGGTCACCAAATATATGTAGAGGGGAAGAGCTCCGACATATACCCAACGTCAAATCAAGAGATATATATGAATATAGCTATGGTAGAATCGTAGGTGAATAAGGGGGGAAAAGGAGGACGATCGAAAGACACTCGAATGTGTGCTGTGAGTACGTGTATTGTATTGTGTGGTGAT